CATCATGATCCTAGTCCCAAATGGTACCCTATTCCCTACAAAGTGCACTACTTTTGACCAGATCCCTATGGGCCCTGGTCAAAAGTAGTGCACTATATAAGGAATAGGGTACCATTTGGGATGGCGCCATGTACTCCTGGAATGTCCACAGATTGATATCGTCCATCCAGGTCAAAGATTCTTCTTCTCTTTGCCCTCTTGATTCGTATTCAGGGATTGAAAACGTCAGGAAGACTGCTACTTCCTTCTCTCTTTCTCTGTCATTATACAAGGCTATTTGCTCAGTTGTGCCCGTCCTCATTATGTTTGTGGGTCAGTCCATTCCTATTAGTACTGTACTCTTCACTTCCACATTGCTGATATATTCACTCCGTTTATTAGGTTCACCCATCTAGAAGCTTCCGGTTGGTCTAGGTTAACATTTTTACATGTTTCCATGTCGATGACACCTTAACGGTTTTCTCTGTATTTGTACGTCATAACATATATTTTGAAATCATGCTTTTATCATTGTTGGATCTGTTACCTGTCTTGACTATTATCATGACTGTTGGCCATTGTTGTCGACTCAAGCGCTACTGTGGGGATTTTGCTGAATCACTACCTGGTTGTGGTTTCTATGGGAACAAAAAGTATTAATGTCAGGTTAATAAATAATGTGATTAACTCTGCACTATTCTTTCCTCCTTACTGTATTTCAACTGTTAGCTTATGTACAAACTATGATATGATTTAGTCTACTGTTAGTTTATCGTGTACAAACTATGATTTGTAATTCCCTTGCAAGTTGGTTGCCATGCCAGTGGCCAAAGCTGCTTGTATATTCACTCCGTTTATTAGGTTCACCCATCTAGTAACGGGTCGGACCAACCTTTGCCTTCAGAACAGCCTGAATTATTCGGGGCGTGGATTCTACAAGGTGTGGCGTTCAAACGTTGCTCAATTGGTATCAAGGGACCTAACGTGTGCCAGGAAAACATTTCCCACACCATTTCGCCACCAGCCTGTGCCATTGACACCAGGCAGGATGGGGCCATGGACTCATGCTGCTTATGCTAAATCCGGACTCTGACATCAACAGGAACCAGGATTCATCGGACCAGGCGAAGGTTTTCCACTCCTCAATTGTCCAGTGTTGGTGATCGTGTGCCCACTGGAGACGGTTCTTCTTGTTTTTAGCTGATAGGAGTGGAACCCGGTGTGGTTGTCTGCTGCAATAGCCAATCCGTGACAAGGACCGTTCTGCACACCACTGTTGTACTGCGCCATTATTTGCCTGTTTGTGGCCTGCCTGTTAGCTTGCACGATTCTTGCCACTCTCCTTCGCCCTGTCTCATCAACGAGCTGTTTTCTCCCACAGGACTGCCGCTGACTGGATGTTTGTTTGTTGCACCATTCTCAGTAAACTCTAGACACTGTCGTGCGTGGAAAAACCCAGGAACAGAGAGAGAGTGCAGTGGGAATCACAAGAATCTTGACATCCGAAGTGTCGTGTTTTGAACTTCGTTAAGGGAGTAATCTCCGGGGTGTCGATGGAAGTTGAGGTGAAATACCTAAGGGAGAGAATAGCAGGTGTGGTTAGTGCCTGTCGCCTGACCAGAATGGTGAAAGGGAAAAAAGTATGTTGGTTCTTTTGTTTTTTGACAAAGAACACCTCCCTACCACAGGAGGTTGGTGGCACCTTAATTGGGGAGGATGGGCTCGTGGTAATGGCTGGGGCGGAATCGTATCAAACACATGGTTTGATGCCATTCCATTCGCTCCGTTCCAGTCGTTATTACGAGTTGTCCTCCCCTCAGCAGCCTCCACTGCTCCCTACACATTTAAAGCTAGGGTAAGGTAAGACCATTCCTCCCCAAAATGCTACAATGTAAAAACTGTAAAGGATTTGGCCATGTGACAAATGTGTGCAGACGAAAGATGTATACTGAAGATTGGAGTGAAGAAGGTCAGTGCTGTGATTGTGGTGGAGATCATGATCCAGAGTTCTTGGAGTGCCCTGTAAGGGTGAAGGAAGTTGAGCTGGCGAAAGTCAGGACGGTCCATCAGATCTCCTATGTGGAGGCAACCAAAAGTGTTGAGAAAGCAAGTGACAGTGTTGAAGATATGATCGCGGATGCAACACAACGCGTGTGACAAGCAAGAGAACCGGATACGCGGTGTGTTAAAAAGGTGGATTTTGTACCGTTTATTGCATCTGTTATTAACTGTATGGCACAAGTATCAAATAAATCGAAGAAGTTGGACATTGTGGCTGCAGCTGAAAAGTATCTGGGACTTCCCAGGCTCCTGAGTATGGATTGGATTTGGCGGTTTTGTTTTAACAGAATAAATAAAAGATGAGTTTTTTGGTAGTCCCCCCCCCCCCCCAACATGACAATGTTCCCCGCCTACTCGACCAATCAGACGAGGGAGTGTGATGACGCGAATGCCGGCTTACGGTTCGTGGGAAACGACCAATCAGGTGAGGGAGTGTGATGACGCGAATGCCGACCGGCTTGCAGGAGCAGAAAAGAGACCTGTATTTCTTTTATCCAGTGATCCATCAATGATTTGGTTATTTATTAGTTATAATAAAACCAACCGTTCTAAATGCAAAGTTGTAATCGGATGTCTTATTCAAACTCAGCTTGCAAGTTTATCATGATGTTTTCCCTTACTTGTCTTAAACCAAAATAGGTTTACTCCAATAGCTGCATTGTTTTTAAAATGGCATGTAGACAAACAAATTGATATCTTGATTTTAGATGTTTAAGTCCACAAGTAATCCACGAGTAAAATGTTCACCGTTTCACAGAAATGTTCACAGAAATTTCTATTTTTTAAATTGGCCGATTTAAGATGAAAATGTCCACCCTGGTACTTTTTTGGGGGGCATCTAGACACTTACTATAGTAATTTATTTTACTTAACATAGCCTTGCAATCCATATTTCTGGTATTTTGTACCAGTTTCCAAAGGCATGGTCTTCAAGCTATGGAAGATGGCAAAACATTTAGTTAAAATAATAATTGTTTGGACTTACATGACACTTTTATAGACACCCAAGGCTCTTTATAGTGTAAGGGGAAACTCACCACCCTAACCCCACTTACATACTCTTTAATTGATTTGATTGGCCCATCCACCCCCCTCTTCGATGACAAAAGTAACTTTGTTTTCCTTTGGGTTTTTTTACAGATGTTTTGTGACATATACATTATTCATACACTTTATATACATGGTACTTTTATACAAAGTATTACATGATAGGAATACAGTTTGATATACACATTACACATAAAATGGTACTCATCCATAGTCAATAAGTCAAGGGGTATGAATAGTTTCTGAAGGCGCTTTGTGCCCACAACTTGAAATTGTAGGCTATAAAAATAAATAGAGTTGCACGCTCTATATACAAGCTCTGAGTAATGTATTGGGTAAACCACCAACGTTTCGGCATCACTGTGCCTTCTTGAAATGGAACACCATTTAATGGGAGACTTTTACTCTCCCAACTGAGTTTTTTTCCTGCCAAAAGATGTGCATCTGTTGAAGGTATGATATATAGCTCAGTTGGTAGAGCATGGCGCTTGCAACGCCAGGGTTGTGGGTTTGTTTCCCACGGGGGGCCAGTATGAAAATGTATGCACTCATTAACTGTAAGTCGCTCTGGATAAGAGCATCTGCTAAAATGTAAATGTTAGGAGTTTTTCATGTAGCATCACCTGAACAGTAGCTCAGCAGATGGAGTCAAGGGTGTAGCTCAGTTCGTAGTTGGTAGAGCATAGCGTTTGCAACGCCAGAGTTGTGGGTTCGTTTCCCACGGGGGGCCAGTATGAAAAAAATTAAAATAATAATGTATGCACTCACTAACTGTAAGTCGCTCTGGATAAGAGCGTCTGCTAAATGACTTAAATGTAAATGTATGTCTCAGGGACCAGAACCAGGGAATGGGGTCGAATCCCAGCGAAGGCATATTATTTAGAAATGTGTTTTATGTGACACCACACTTTCAGCACATTGTTGTTCAAACAATTATTTTTATTTAGTATAAGTATAAGATTATATCTTAAGCATCCTAAATAATGCCATAGATTCACCGTTTTTGACAGCAAAAACAGGGATTCACAGCTAAAAAGGGAAGTGTGATGGAAGGTGCCAACCTGTATGGTAACTGGTAGTAGGCTACTAAGACCAGAAACTTGCCACTGCGCCACAGAGATTTGATTAATATTGTGGAAAAAACGTCTATATGAACATCAAACGCTTTTCATTGCTGACCAGCAGATGTCATTAATGTGCATTGTGTTAAAAGTTTCGAGTAATTACATTTTTTTCGGCCACAATTTGGTGAAAGCCCCAAAGGCTTCAGAAAGCCTCGGTTTCCCATCACTGCTAGCTAGCTCATTTTAGATGAGAGTAGCAAAAGTTTGCTATTATCTAAAATAGAAAAGACAACTTAGCATTTTCCCAAAACTTTTGGCCTTTCTCAATGTTGTGAATTTTAGTGACGTTGCCAACTGGGACCTCGGGAAAAATCGCTTTGAACGGTCATCCAACCCGGAATTCCAAGTCGGAAACTCTGGCCTTTCTAGAGCTCCGACTTTCCGACCCAAAGATCACTGACATCATTTGACCTCGTTATTTTCCGAGTTCCCAGTAGCCTTGAAAGCACCATTGGGTCCTCAAACTTGAACTCCCGATTTGCCATTTCGAAAATTAGGCGTTTCCCGCGAAACGGAATATTCGTGATCACACTCCCTCGTCTGATTGGTTCCGTAGGCGGGCCTTCTGACTTTGTGGCTGTGGTAACTAGTGACGACTGCGCGTGAGCGGCAAAAGCTTCTCCACCGAACGTCATCCGCTGACCCGTGATGATTCGCACCAATCACAACTCTCACTTCTCTAAACAACGCCTCTGATTCGGCTAGGATCTGTGGGGGCGGTTGCTTTTAAGTCACTGTTTGAATTGTTGAGTTCAGGGAGTTTATGCCTATGTGGGCAAAAAAAAAAACGGTCAATTTGACTGTTCAGTAGATGCTCTCAGGAAAATTGCACTAAATGGTTCATTTGCGTAGAGTTTTGTAGCTTTATCAAGCCGACATAGCATTCTTTCGAACTCACCTTATTTGCTGTGATATCTACAGCATAACTAGCTAACGTTAGCTATTTGATGTTCAGCAGGAAACACAGCTAGGTGCTTGCTAACTTCTCTCATTTCGTGCATTTCCTTGCGATTTAATCGAATTTGTTTCTCTGACAAACTGTTTTCTAGCCAAGCAACAACTGTAGCTGACAAACAATGCATTGCTACAACAAGTCTAATGTTAATTCAATGAAATTGACAAGAAGAAGATAGCTGGCTAACACCGGCTGGCTAGCTTCAGCTTGCTCGTTGTTGGTGCTCTCTTTGTTTTGACAAAGGACCTGAGTTCTTATTTTTTTCATATTTGTAATACACCTGTGACGTTTTTTATTTCCTGGGCCATGGCTCCCCAGAAGCACGGTTCTTCTGGTGGCGGCAACAACGTATCGGGTCCCGTTGTGGGCTATTGTGGTACCGGTGGCGGCAGAGCGAACGGCAGTGTGTACGGCCACCAAACAACTGCAGTTGTGGTGCCCGCTGCCAAGAAACCGAAAATGGAACTGGTTCAAGCCGACCATGAGTTGTTCTTGCAGGCATTTGAAAGTGAGTTGCTGTCATTGTCGTCTTATAATGTTGTTGCATGATTAGTTATCTTTATATAGCTAGATTGCGTGTAAATACCAATCTACTATATAACAATCTCTATTTAATCTAGCCTATATAGAAGTGTCCCTTGTGATTGTGAGCCATCTTTATTTCAACAAAACTATAACCACATTTCACCAGAAAGACGTCATGTTAAAAGCATCTGACAACATGATCATTATACTGAGAAATCGGATCCTATTTTAAATTTGTAGCTAACTAGTTAATTTATTCTACCACGTGCTTGCTTACTTCCTCATCTGAAGAGATGACATGTGCCAGAACTACTTTAAGAAATGAGCATGTGCTGCCTTTGAAATATATTTTTGACAACTAATGTAACACACAAATATGTATAGGGTCATTTCCATGTAAAAGGACCGATGATCACCAACATGTGAAGAGTCTATATTTGTGAAAAATTAAGGTGTGTGTGTATATATACATTTTATACAACCATTTCCCATCCTAAAAATTAGGAATAGCAAAGGCTTTGATTTCTGGTCAAACAGATGGAAAAGGGGTCTTAGAGAACGTCTACCAGAAAAAGTCTTAAGGTATTAGAAATACATTAAAACACAATAATGTTGAAGTAAAGGCCCCTGCCAACTAATATCAACACTTATATTTAGTTTTGGAGAAATGTTTCTGCCTTCTGTAAGTTTAAGAAACATTGCCTTGTGCCTTGAAATTCCGTTACCAAAAACCCACATATCAATTAGTGTTTTTACTGACATACATTTTGTTTATGAATTATTAAGTGATTAAGACTCGAAATTCCGTTATCAAATCGGTAACAGAATTCCAGAAAAATCGGTCACGGAATTTATGCAATTGAATTGGCTACAATGGGAAATCAAAGTAGTCACAAACCACAGTTGGATTCACAAGTTTAGACAGCACAATAGAGTACAGTAAAGAGAAATATAGTTCTGTAGAGTTTAGTACAGTATACAGTAGAGCACACACGTTGAGTACACTATACTGTACTGTACTGAACTAAACTCTACTATACTATACAGAACTATACTGTACTGAACTTTACTGTACTGAACTATACTCTACTATACTGAACTATACTCTTCTGTACTTGTACTGAACTATACTGTACCGAACTATACTGTACAAAACTATACTCGACTGTACTGAACTGTACTGTACTCTACTGAACTATACTATACTGAACTATACTCTACTGTACTGAACTGTACTCTATTGTACTGAACTCTACTGTACGGAACCATACTCGACTGTACTGAACTGTACTGTACTATACTGAACTATACTCTACTGTACTGAACTGTACTCTATTGTACTGAACTCTACTGTACTGAACTCTACTGAACTATACTCTACTGTACTGAACTATACTCTACTTTACTGCACTGTACTCAACTGTACGAGAATAAGATTGTTGTCAATGTAAAGTAATTTACTGTAAGCTAATGAATGTTGAACCAGTGTCTGTTTCAGAGCCAACAATAATTGCCCCTCTAGGAGAAATAGTCTGTTGCCTAAGTATAATGTTATTGTCAATGTAATTTACTGTGAAGTTAATGAATGTTGAACCAGTCTATTGTGTTTCCAGAACCGACCCAGATCTACAGGTTTCTCAGAACCAGGAACTTGATAGCGGTACGTTGGAAGCCTTCTCAGCACCTGTCATTCTTTACTGTCTGTGGCCTCTAATGGTGTGCCTGTTTGAAGATGGTACAGATTTAATGTACCTCTAGAATAGCCTTCTGTTGAGCAGATAGACTACCTTGAACCAGCTGTAACATCGCTGGCTAATGATGTCTGTTTGAAGATGGTAAACATTTGATGCACTGCACAGTTCCACTAGATAGAATTGCCTTCTTTTTGGCATTGACAACCTGTTGCGACATTTCTGTCAAGGTGCAGAAGATGCATGTGCAGATTTCTAATCGTTTTTCCTGTGTTGGTTTTCAGCCCATATTTTTGCACAGAACCCTCACCTACATGTCCCACAGAAACTCAAGAACAAACGCCAAAAGGTAAAAACCTGCATGAAGGTGTTGATTATAACTGTTGAATGTTTTTTAAAAAGTCCATTGATATGTTAGGCATTCTCAGCATACTGATGGACCCAGTTAGATGAGTCCCAGTCTTCAAATAGCTTACATGAGCAGCAGAATGAAAAACCTAAAGGTTTTAGTACTAAGATCTGTTTGTGTGTACCAGTGACATAATTACAGTGAACCCGACGACCCCAGAAACTGAAGAGTTGGTAGGGTTAAACCCTGTTGGATTACAGCAGGGGAGAGTGTGTGTGGTTCAGTATGCTGTTATCTTAACACAGGGCCAACAGCCATGGGGCTGCATAGTGTAGGAGGGGGCAGCCCCTGCTGTTTCACTGAGTGACGTAATGTATACAGTTGAAGTCGGAAGTTTACATACACTTAGGTTGGAGTTATTTAAAACTCGTTTTTCAACCACTCCACACATTTCTTGTTAACAAACTATAGTTTTGGCAAGTCGGTTAGGACATCTACTTTGTGCATGACACAAGTAATTTTTCCAAAAATTGTTTACAGACAGATTATTTCACTTATAATTCACTGTATCACAATTCCAGTGGGTCAGAAGTTTACATACACTAAGTTGACTGTGCCTTTAAACAGCTTGGAAAATTCCAGAAAATTATGTCATGGCTTTAGAAGCTTCTGATAGGCTAATTGACATCATTTGAGTCAATTGGAGGTGTACCTGTGGATGTATTTCAAGGCATACCTTCAAACTCAGTGCCTCTTTGCTTGACATCATGGGAAAATCAAAAGAAATCAGCCAAGACCTCAGAAAATAAATTGTAGACCTCCACAAGTATGGTTCATCCTTGGGAGCAATTTCCAAACACCAGAAGGTACCACGTTCATCTGTACAAACAATAGTACGCAAGTATAAACACCATGGGACCACGCAGCCATCGTACCGCTCAGGAAGGAGATGCGTTCAGTCTCCTAGAGATTAACGTACTTAGGTGCAAATCAATCCCAGAACATTTACATTTTAGTCATTTAGCAGACGCTCTTATCCAGAGCGACTTAGTTAGTGAGTGCATACATATTTTTTCATATTGGCCCCCCGTGGGAATTGAACCCACAACCCTGGCGTTGCAAGCGCCATGCTCTACCAACTGAGCTACAGGGGATAACTACTCATTATTATTATTATTATTAGTAGTAGTAGATCTGTCAGTCACAATTTACCATAATGCATCATCACAGATTTGATGCTCTTGAAAACAGTGATCCCTGTGGGAATTGAAAACAACAATTGAAAAACAACTTTGTTGCTAGCACTGCACTCTTCCTAATTGAGCCACACAGGACCATTGTCTGCTGTAATGAGACGTTGTACGTGTTGGCTAATGACTATATCTTGCTCTATGTAAATTAGAAATGGTACGTTTAGTTATCTTAGCTGTTTTGCATATCGGTTGATTATAGTGATATCTGGGGCCCTGAGTTCTTCTTGATTCTAGTGATATCTAGAATCAAATGTTTTTCCCCTACGATGCGAAACGTATCCTACCGGCTGTATTTCTGCCCAACGTGAATGGCAATAGTGCAAGATATACATGAAAACATGAAATGACACCAGGAATCGATAGAACATCGCTCAAAAAACAAAATAACTTTCAAAATAGGTGAATCTATCCTTTAATTCTTTACACTCGTGGGAATTGGCCTATATGGATAGGGAGGCTAAATTGAAATGTTTCTTACAGAATAAATATGAAAAGTGTATGCATAACCATGGCAGAAATGGAAAGGGAACAGTTGGGAGGTTATGGGAAAATTATTAGACCAAAGTTGAGGACACAACAGTTCACCTGACACAAGACTAAATCCAAACATTACACTGCTGATTTTATGTGCATTTTACATGTACTTTTAGCCGTATTTGTTGATAATGAAATCTCAAATAGTCTGGATATATTCAGTAACATGATAATATTCCTGGGAAATGTGTTGTAGGTGCAACATAAGACAAACATTTTTAAAGGATTTGAGTGAGAGGACTAACTGGTGTCTCCAAGTGACCACACACCTCTCCAAAGTGTTCACAGTTCCTAACTAATTCTAATGCACTTTTATGACTCAAAGTCTTCAACTATAAGGTGTTTTTTTTAGCTCTCCTAGCTGTGCTGTTGAGGAACTAGAGCAAGGACACTTGTAGTTGTTTTGTTTGGAACACAGCCCTGCATCTCCGCATTTACACAATTACTGTTGTTGTTTACGCAATCCAAATATTGGTCCATTATAAATCGCAATCTGGGTCAGGTGGGCATCATTTGAAAGCTTGTTCTATTGCCAACATGACTAGCTAAGTTATAAAATAGGATATTACGGTGTTAGGCTTTCACATGGTAATTCAGGGAAACAGATCGTAATTTTGGAACGCATAGAAAGGTGTCATGAGTGCATTCAGGTGTGTGTGCCGAGGCTAATTTTCTTCACAGTAGACAAACCGGCTCGTTCTGTTCAGAACAACCCAGGGTATGACGCCATGTCATCTTGAACTTTACATCAAACATAGTGATCATAAACGTTGACACTGTATATTGCCCAATTAGCGGGAGGGATGGGGGCAACTTGTTGTCACATGCGGTGCTGAAGTTCAGAGCTCTGACGTCATGTATAGCATGTTACTGTACAGCCACTGTGTTCCAATTTAGATGCTTATCAGTGTCCACATCTGCCATTTTCAACCCGTATACGGGTACGAGTTTAAAGCCCTACACAGCCCAGTTTCTCCATTGGGTTGAATACATCCTCACTTTTTAAATGATATTTATCTGCATTTAATGGTGATGTGTGCTCTGATTCTCCCACTTGTGCACTCCCTGTCATGGTTTTAAAATCATTGGATGGTTGTAGGAGCACTGGGTGGGGCAGTATCCAACATGGTTAAATCCTTGACGGGGAGTATGCAAGACAAGTGCACACTTTGGGAGAAGTGTAGAGGAGGAGGTTCAAGCCTCAGAAGTGCAGTCTAAATCCCTGTTGCTATTAACCCTGAGGGTTCTCTGGGGGGTCAGGAAGTCCTCCAGGGTGGATCATCTGCTGTACAGAGTGGAGAAGAAGAGGGCTGAGCAGAAGGCACACAGGTAAACACACAGACCCGTTCACTATCTTCTGGTCTTTTTCCATTAGTCCACTGTTGATACGGTGATGATGTGGCAATGCTACACTTTGCTTCTTGAAAGTTCTAGGCCTATATCCTGAACTTGACCTTTGACATGCAAAAAATGTTGATGCTGTATCAATGGGTAAAATACCAAAATATCATTTGAGTGGATTATTCCTTGAACTCCAAAAGGTGCTTGATATCGATAGTCCCAAAAAAGCCATTCACACCTGAAAGAATCAGAACTAAGCTCTTTTTCGGGAACTCTTTGGTAACTCTTTCATAACTTTGTCCCCAGCCTGGCTTCACACCTACAACTCACCTTCACTGGGTTCTTTCATAAAGTCGGTAAGTGCAGGGATGGATAGTTGGTAAGTGTTTAACCTGATGTTTGCAGGGATGATAGATGGTAAGTGTTTAACCTGATGTTTGCAGGGATGATAGTTGGTAAGTGTTTAACCTGATGTTTGCAGGGATGATAGTTGGTAAGTGTTTAACCTGATGTTTGCAGGGATGATAGTTGGTAAGTGTTGAACCTGATGTTTGCAGGGATGATAGTTGGTAAGTGTTTAACCTGATGTTTGCAGGGATGATAGTGGGTAAGTGTTGAACCTGATGTTTGCAGGGAGGATGGAAAATATACATTTCATCAGATACCAAATGCACGTTATTAGTTTAAATCCTGATTGTTAATGTCTTCTTATTCCCTCTACAGAGAAGTCGTCAGTAGACTCAGAGAATAAGCAGAACTCTGTTTCTCTAGAGGTGCTGCTGGTTAAAGTCTGTCACAAGAAGAGGAAGGTAAGAGAGTGTGTGTGAGCATCTGCTAAATGAGTCAAATGTAAATGTGTGTGTGTGTGCATCTTCTCTCCTTTTACCTCTCTTTCTCTCTCTCTCATCCTCTCTTTTTCTCTCTCCTCTTTCATCCCTCTCTCTTGTACACATTTCCACTCCCCGTTCTCTCCCCCTCTAGGATGTGAGCTGTCCAGTGAAGCAGGTTCCTACAGGGAAGAAGCAGGTGCCTCTGAACCCAGACAGCAGCGCTCCCAGCAGTCAGGCCAAGCCAGGCTCCTGTCCTTCTCTGGTGGTGTCCAGTAGTGAGTTTGAAGCCAGCAACGTCCATACGGTCAAGTCCTACTCCCTGTTGTTCAGAGTGTCAGGACCAGGCAGGACACAGCACAATGGACTGGTCAAGGGACAGACCAATGAGAACATAGGTAGGCTTAGTGCTGGAGGTAGTCACTACGTGTGTGTGTGTGTGTGTGTGTTAACCCCAGCCTTGTATTGTTACAGAGGATGTGTGTGTGTGTGTGTGTTAACCCCAGTCTTGTATTGTTACAGAGGATGTGTGTGTGTGTGTGTGTGTGTTAACCCCAGCCTTGTATTGTTACAGAGGATGTGTGTGTGTGTGTGTGTGTGTGTGTGTGTGTTAACCCCAGCCTTGTATTGTTACAGAGGATGTGTGTGTGTGTGTGTGTGTGTTAACCCCAGCCTTGTATTGTTACAGAGGATGTGTGTGTGTGTGTGTGTGTGTTAACCCCAGCCTTGTATTGTTACAGAGGATGTGTGTGTGTGTTAACCCCAGCCTTGTATTGTTACAGAGGATGTGTGTGTGTGTGTGTGTGTTAACCCCAGCCTTGTATTGTTACAGAGGATGTGTGTAACAGGAAGAAGAGAAGCTCCACCGTCAGAGAAGAAGAAGTGGGAGAAACAACGTTCGTAGCTCAGATGACTGTGTTTGATAAGAACAGGTACACACACACAGTCCTCTAACCTCTAACCCTAAAATAGCCTTTTACAAGTGAGGACCGGCAGAATGTCCTCACTTCTCTGAATTGTAGTTGGTTTACTATTCTTGGACTTCAGGTACTCACCAGTATAGTACATTATGTTCACACACACTCTCACACACACAGGGTTGTGTTCTTTTGTTATTTCTCTCTCACTCTCTCTTTCTCATTCTCTCTCTCTCTCATACGCTGCACACCTCTCTGGTAGACTGTGGGCTTGTTCCACCTCTCTGGTAGACTGTGGGCTTGTTCCACCTCTCTGGTAGACTGTGGGCTTGTTCCACATCAACTGCATTGCAGTTGACAATCTAGAAATCACCTTGCTTCACAAAAAACAACTCATTATTTGTCAGTCAGTCACGATTTGCCCACTTGGCATCACTGATTTTAAGCTCTCGAAGACGGCCAATGTCCCTCTGTCTTTTCAGGCGTCTCCAGTTGTTAGATGGGGAGTATGAGGTGTCTATGCAGCAGATGGAGGACTGTCCTGTCAACAAGAAGAGAGCCACCTGGGAAACAAACCTGGATGGAAAGGTACATGTGTTGGTTGACAGGTGTGTGTGTTGTCACGATACCAGAATTGAGACTTTGATACCAGGTTTAGTGTCATGATACTCGATACCAAAACGATACCACAGCAAAAAAATAAGGTATATTAGCCAAAGTCCCAGAATGGCCCTTGATCCAGACTGAGAAACCCAGCTACTGCTCTGATCAATAGTTGGGCATCTTATAAGTTCAATATCCTTACATTTGAAATGGGGATGAGACAAATATACAATGTTTAACCCTCCTGTTGTCCTGGGGTCATTCTGACCCCAAATTAAATCTTTTGCCGACAAAATATGTTTTTTATTCATCAATTGGTCTGAAAATAACGGTAGTTGTTTAATACTATGCTCTTTATGATTCAAACAAATTTGAAGTAATTTGATTGAATTATGGGTGTTTTACTAAATGTAATAACTTCTGTTGTCCTCTGGGGTCAAAAAGACCCCGCAGCACAAAGTTTACATACTGCTTGGCAAAACATCTTTGATCATGTTTCTTTGATGTGTGGGGTCAAGCAATGGTTATGACAACAACAACAACAAAAAAAGTATTTTCTCACAGGTGTTTGGGCATTTCACATTTTAGTCTGAGAGAGACAGGCAGCACAATGAGGAGGCAGAAGTTTTATAATGCACAGGAGGCTTGCAAGATAATTTTTGAAATAAAAGAAAATAATGACCAGGAGGACAATGCTGCACATAATGAGGATGAATCAACTGATGAAGAGGGTTCAGGGTCAGAAGAGGAGGAACATAATGATGAGGTGATAGATCCAACATACAGACAGCATGCTACTTCTTCCTCCGAAGATTCCCCCACATCTCCTGCTGCAGAAATGGAAGATGATTATGAATATAAGGAAATGGATGAACGTGATGATGACGTAGAATCTGAAGCTGGTATGGAAGAAGTGTCAGAAGTGGAGCACTGCACCTATTATGATGAAGAATCAACAGATGAGGTAGAATCTGAAGTTGAAATGGAAGAAGTGTCAGAAGTGGAGGACATCATCTATTATGATGAAGACGAAGAATCAACAGATGAGGTAGAATCTGAGGAAGAGGACCCAGCTGACCCTGAACCCTCTTCATCAGTTGATTCATCCTCATTATGTGCAGCATTGTCCTCCTGGTCATTATTTTCTTTTATTTCAAAAATTATCTTGCAAGCCTCCTGTGCATTATAAAACTTCTGCCTCCTCATTGTGCTGCCTGTCTCTCTCAGACTAAAATGTGAAATGCCCAAACACCTGTGAGAAAATACTTTTTGTTGTTGTTGTTGTTGTCATAACCATTGCTTGACCCCACACATCAAAGAAACTTGATCAAAGATGTTTTGACCCCACACATCAAAGAAACATGATCAAAGATGTTTTGCCAAGCAGTATGTAAACTTTGTGCTGCGGGGTCTTTTTGATCCCAGAGGACAACAGAAGTTATTACATTTAGTAAAACACCCATAATTCAATCAAATTACTTCAAATTTGTTTGAATCATAAAGAGCATAGTATTAAACAACTACCGTTATTTTCAGACTAAATATGTAACACAGAATTGATTGAAAATGTATACTGTATGCTTTATAAACAGTCAAACCAGGCAGGACAAAAGGTGTGATTATGGGCTGTCATTAATAAAAATAAAATGATTCAAAAACAGCATCCTCACTAAACTTTTACAAATACCACTCAGTGATAAGTCAAATAGTCAAAATAATAATAGGTCAAAATAATTCATAGTTTCATTGTATTTTTACTTAAAAACAGGGTATACTTTTATGTAAACAAGGTCTATTGGCTCTAAATTCCAAAACAAATGAAAAGAATTCTAGTAATGGGTTGAACAGAAGTAAGACTAAAGATGTAACACAGAATTGATTGAAAATGTATACTGTATGCTTTATAAACAGTCAAACCAGGCGGGGTCATTTTTGACCCCAGAGGACAAAAGGTGTGATTATGGGCTGTCATTAATAAAAATTAAATGATTCAAAAACAGCATCCTCACTAAACTTTTACAAATACCACTCAGTGATAAGTGAAATAGTCAAAATAATAATAGGTCAAAATAATTCATAGTTTCATTGTATTTTTACTTAAAAACAGGGTATACTTTTATGTAAACAAGGTCTATTGGCTCTAAATTCCAAAACAAATGAAAAAAATTATAGTAATGGGTTGAACAGAAGTAAGAATAAAGATGTAACACAGAATTGATTGAAAATGTATACTGTATGCTTTATAAACAGTCAAACCAGGCGGGGTCATTTTTGACCCCAGAGGACAAAAGGCGTAAGGCATTTGGGAGGACAACACGAGGGTTTTAAACAGACATTTAAAAAAATCGTTTAAACGATGAATCATAAAATGATGTGAATTCACAATTAAAAAATGGTCCTGAGTATGATGGCAATGCAGTTTAATATACGCACGCCTGGCTACCTACCAGACGACCGTCACTAGTTGCCACAGTCATAAACCCTGCCAATTTCTACAATTTATCTTCTTAAAATGTGATTTTAAACCTTACCTTAACCACACTGCTAACCTTATGCCTAACCCTAACCTTAAATTAAGGCCAAAAAGCACATTTTTTTTGTTTTCATTTACTTTTACGATATATCCAAATTTGACTTTGTGGCTGTGCTATCTAGTGGAGCCCCTACCAGACGGATCACCTCTTACTACAGATGTTCCACATAAATATTCTGCGGTTGGTGTTTTCTGTAATGATTTAAGTGACCGTTGTGCTGTTGTTGCTGTTAGAAATACTAAGGTACCCAAAACAAACCCACGCTTTATTCGTAAGAGAAAGTTTGAGTTTTAATGAGCAGGCTTTCTTTCATGATTTGTTTTATTTTGACTGGAGCAAGATTGAGCTTATTCCTGATGTGGAAACTGCCTTGAAGTTCTTTCATGATAGTTCTTCCCAAATAGTAAACAAACATGCCCCATTCCGCAGGTTCAGAGTTAAAGGGCGGGATATAATCCATGGTTTTCTTCTGAGCTGTCCTGTATTATTCACAAACGTAATCTAGCCTGGGCTAAAGCAAGAAAATCATGTTCTGATGCTGATTGGCTTTTTTTTAGGCAGCTACGAAACAAGTGTTCTTCTCTTCTCAGGAAGGCCAAGTCTGAATATTTTATGTCTGTTACTGCTGATAACCTGAATGACCCTAGAAAGTTTTGGAAGGCTATTAAGTCTGTCTGGTAACAGTAATGTTAATGAATTTCCATCATGTGTATTGAAGGACTCTGTTGCTGTATATGAGAACTGAAATGCTGAATTGTTTCAATGAGGACTTTGTATCATCTGGTAGGCTGTTTGATTCAGTATCTTCTGTCTCTGTACAACCTTGTGTGGATGAGCTGGTCAAACTTGTAGCTTTTTGCCATTCTCAGTGCATGAGGTACATACAGTGAGGGGGGGGGGGAAAAGTATTGCTGATTTTGTACGTTTGCCCACTGACAAATACATTATCAATCTATAATTTGAATGGTAGGTTTATTTGAACAGTGAGAGACAGAATAACCACAAAAAAATCCAGAAAAACGCATGTCAAAAATGTTATAAATTGATTTACATTTTAATGAGGGAAATAAGTATTTGACCCCCTCTCAATCAGAAAGATTTTCTGGCTCCCAGGTGTCTTTTATACAGGCAACGAGCTGAGATTAGGAGCACACTCTTAAAGGGAGTGCTCCTAATCTCAGTTTCTACCTGTATAAAAGAGACCTGTCCACAGAAGCAATCAATCAGATTCCAAACTCTCCACCATGTCCAAGACCAAAGAGCTCTCCAAGGATGTCAGGGACAAGATTGTAGACCTACACAAAGCTGGAATGGGCTACAAGACCATCGCCAAGCAGCTTGGTGAGAAGGTGACAAGTTGGTGCGATTATTCGCAAATGGAAGAAACACAAAATAACTGTCAATCTCCCTCTGCCTGGGGCTCCATGCAAGATCTCACCTTGTGGAGTTGAAATGATCATGAGAACGGTGAGGAATCAGCCCAGAACTACACGGGAGGATCTTGTCAATGATCTCAAGGCAGCTGGGACCATAGTCACCAAGAAAACAATTGGTAACACACTACGCCGTGAAGGACTGAAATCCTGCAGCGCCCGCAAGGTCCCCCTGCTCAAGAAAGCACATATACATGCCCGTCTGAAGTTTGCCAATGAACATCTGAATGATTCAGAGGAGAACTGGGTGAAAGTGTTGTGGTCAGATGAGACCAAAATGGAGCTCTTTGGCATCAACTCAACTCGCCGTGTTTGAAGGAGGAGGAATGCTGCCTATGACCCCAAGAACACCATCCCCACCGTCAAACATGGAGGTGGAAACATTATGCTTTGGGGGTGTTTTTCTGCTAAGGGGACAGGACAACTTCACCGCATCAACGGGACGATGGACGGGGCCATGTACCGTCAAATCTTGGGTGACAACGTCCTTCCCTCAGCCAGGGCATTGAAAATGGGTCGTGGATGGGTATTCCAGCATGACAATGACCCAAAACACACGGCCAAGGCAACAAAGGAGTGGCTCAAGAAGAAGCACATTAAGGTCCTGGAGTGGCCTAGCCAGTCTCCAGACCTTAATCCCATAGAAAATCTGTGGAGGGAGCTGAAGGTTCGAGTTGCCAAACGTCAGCCTCAACCTTAATGACTTGGAGAAGCTCTGCAAAGAGGAGTGGGACAAAATCCCTCCTGAGATGTGTGCAAACCTGGTGGCCAACTACAAGAAACATCTGACCTCTGATTGCCAACAAGGGTTTTGCCACCAAGTACTAAGTCATGTTTTGCAGAGGGGTCAAATACTTATTTCCCTCATTAAAATGCAAATATATAACATTTTTGACATGCGTTTTTCTGGATTTTTTGTTGTTGTTGTTATTCTGTCTCTTACTGTTCAAATAAACCTACCATTAAAATTATAGACTGATCATGTCTTTGTCAGTGGGCAAACGTACAAAATCAGCAGGAGATCAAATACTTTTTTCCCTCACTGTAAAGCCCTGAAATCCTTAGATCAGAGAGAGCCTGCAGGTCCTGATCTTCTTGATCCCTGCTTTTTAAAACTGGCAGCTGATTTCATAGCTGAACCACTTACATATCTGTTCAATCTAACCCTGGAATGTAATGAAATTCCAAGGATCTGGAAATCTGCATTTGTCCTACCAATTTTAAAAGGGGGAGATCCAACTCTTTTAAGTAATTATAGGCCAATCTCAAAGCTGTCACCCCTAGTTAAAAAATACTTGAAATCCTTGTTAGAGAACAGCTAAAACAGTATATAAAAACGAACTCTATTTTATCAATGTACCAATCGGGCTTCAGGAAAAAGCATAGCACAATTACAGCAGCCATGAAGGTTTTAAATGATATCACTGAAGCCCTTGACAAAAAACAGCACTGTCTCTCACTTTTTATTGATCTCTCTAAGGCTTTTGATACAGTTGATCATGCTATACTGAGGCAGAGATTGTCGAGTGTAGGTCTTTCGGCGCATGCAGTTGCATGGTTTGCTCACTATCTGTCTGATAGAACTCAGTGCACTCAATTTGATGGGCTCAGCTCTGTTAAATTGTCTGTCTGTAATGGTGTGCCCCAGGGCTCTGTACTTGGTCCCCTCTTATTCACTATTTATATAAATAATTTAGACAAAAATGCGCAACTTAACTTTTATGCTGATGATACTGTTATTTATTGTTGTGCCTCGTCTCTCACTAAAGCTTTCCAGAACTTGCAAACTGCTTTTTATACTGTTCAACATACCTTGTGTCAGTTGAAGCTTATCCTCAATGCTGACACAACTAAACTAATGGTGTTTTCTAAAGCAAGAAACAGACCTCTGAACCTTTCACCTATTACTACATGTCAGGGCAATGAGATTGAGGTTGTAACCGCATATAAATATTTTGGAATTTTAATTGATGACAGCCTCTCTTTTTAAATTGCATATTCAACAACTTACAACAAAATTGAAGTTGGGATTCTATTTTAGGAATAAGGCCTGTTTTTCTTTTGAAGCCAGGAGGAGGCTAGTATTGGCTACATTTATGCCTATACTAGACTATGGAGATATTTTATAGATGAATGCTTCCGCTCAGTGTTTGAGATCAATTGACACACTTTATCATGGAGTATTGAGATTTATTTTAAACTGCAAAACCCTTACGCACCATTGCACTTTATATACCAGGGTTGGCTGTCTTTCTCTAGTCACTCGTAGGCTCAGTCACTGGTATACTTTTATTTACAAAGCCATTTTGGGTTTACTACCATTTTATCTGGGCATTTTTATTCTTCAGAAATGTGGTGGGTACTTTATCCTATCCTGCTAACTGTTCCAAATGTCCGAACTGAATTTGGTAAAAGGGCTTTTATGTACTCTGCGCCATCGGCTTGGAACGCTTTACAACATACTTTTAAACTGGAAGAACTTGTCCCGATTGGTGTTTTTAAATCATTGATGAAGGATTTTGAGGCCGATTCCTTGACCTGTCAATGTTTTTAAATCGCTGTTTTATGATTTTGTTATACTCCTGTGATTTCTATGGATGTTTACTAGATTACTTTTAGTTTTTCATGTTGTCTGTCTGTAATTGTGTAATGACTTGGTGCTGCCTATCTTGGCCAGGACTCTCTTGAAAAACAGATTTCAAATCTCAATGAGCCCTTCCTGGTTAAATAAAGGTAAAATAAAAACATTAATGTGATGGCTCGTTGCAGTGACGTATGACAGCGTGTTCATAGACGTCCCAAAGACGTGTTGTTCACGCCACGTATGGCGTTTGAGAACTCGCACTTTGTACTTGCAGAGCAGTCATTGTACAATTTCTCTATCCGGGCCGTCAAGGTTTTTCGACATGGCATCTTGTAGTCTGGTTCTAGACATGCCATCAGGGTACTGAAGCCGACATCCTCTACAATTTGACCATGGCTGTATATCAACTGTAATCAGTGCTGTGATTTTTTTCTTTTTTTTTCTCACACCGTCCCTTATAGCACTGCTGCCAGCAACGGTTGGGTCGTCCCTTTCAGCATTGCACCTGTACTGCCACTGTAGCTCCATTCCACCTCGCAAAGTTTGCATTTCACCACCTTATCATTTAACTTGTCAAAGTATTGCCATACAGGCCTTTGCTGCTGTCACTTCCCTGTCACACTCTCTGCCATTTTCCCAACTGTTAAGGACGATGACGTGCAGTGCTTTATATCCGTGGCAAATCAGTTGAAAGATGCATATATTGTTGCGTTAGGTATTTGTTTAATTAAAATGTTTCCCGTCATGATGAGGATCGGGACCTGTTAGTGGTAGTTTTGTGATAACTGCACTCTGATTTCCCCCGTCGGAGCCCTCAGTTCGCTGACGCAATAAATCTTTGGCTGAGGGAGAGACGTGAGGGAGACTATTAAGCGAATGAAGTGTTTGGTGGCAATCAGCATTAAAATCAGCATGTTTTGCGTTATGGTTTGTATGTTATCACAGACAAAGTACTAGGGGTAGTTAATTGATGTTAGCTTCAGCTGTCAGCTAGCAAGGGAAGTTAACCTACAAAGCTGGAAGCTACCGGTATCTTCTTGCAAGTTATTCTAGACTGTATGGACATTTGTTTTGCCAATAGTAATTAACAGTTTCAACATTTCTACACGCTGTGTCGCATTATTCAAGTGTGTTAACTTCTGTGCAGCATGATGCAGCCCAGACTCCCAGTGCAGGCACGGTGCACTCCGTGGGGCACATCGGCTGCGCTCGTAGACAGATTTGACAGAAGTACTGAAAATAACAAAAATTCTAGTACCGAACCATTGTTCATGTTCTAGTATCGAAAAAGTACAGAAGTTTTGTATACTGTGCAACACTAGTGTGTGTGTGTGTGAGAGATGGCTCCTCCTAGGCCCCTGGTCTTCCCCTCTGAACAGACATCAAGAGAGCACCACTTTTCTCTCCTCTCTTCCCTTTACTCATGTATTTGTCTCTCTCTCTCTCCCTCCCCTCTTTCCTGTAGCGCCTCCCTTCGTTTGAGACGTTCTCCCAGGGTCCTACTCTCCAGTTCACGCTGCGTTGGACAAGCGAGCCCAGTGATAGGTCGACGGCCCCCGTGGCCAAACCCCTCGCCATGCGGAACGCTGACGCTAGCAGCCTGACCTCCGACCCTAGGCCCTGCTCCCTCAGACCCACTCAGACCATAGGTGAGACACGGGCCGGACGACACACACACACACACACAGACAGACAGACTGTTGTAATCTGTAGAAGCTCACTAAATGGTGTCAACTTAAAGGGAGACTTTAACATATACCATGTTTTAAAGGAATACTTCGGAGTCAATTGAACTCGTGGATACCATCTTTATGTCTCTGCGTCCAGTAAGAGGTAGTTTCGCGAGCCAATGCAAGTCTATGGTATCTGCTAGAAAATGCTAGTTAGCAATTGCGCTAGCGATAGTTAGCAACTTCGTTCATACTGGACACCCGAGACATAAAAATAGTATCCACAAGTTCATCTGATTCTGGGGAAGTAGATAAAGGGCCTCATTGACAAAATATTGAAGTATCCCTTTAAACGTGGTATACGTTAAAGTATCCCTTTAACATTTACATTTACATTTACGTCATTTAGCAGACGCTCTTATCCAGAGCGACTTACATGAGCAATTAGGGTTAAGTGCCCTTTAAACGTGGTATACGTTAAAGTATCCCTTAAACGTGGTATACGTTAAAGTATCCCTTTAAAACGTGGTATACGTTAAAGTATCCCTTTAAACGTGGTATACGTTAAAAGTATCCCTTTAAAACGTGGTATACGTTAAAGTATCCCTTTAAACGTGGTATACGTTAAAGTATCCCTTTAAACGTGGTATACGTTAAAGTATCCCTTTAAACGTGGTATACGTCAAAGTATCCCTTTAAACGTGGTATACGTCAAAGTATCCCTTTAAATGTGGTATATGTTAAAGTATCCCTTTAAACGTGGTATACAGTGAGGGGAAAAAAGTATTTGATCCCCTGCTGATTTTGTACATTTGCCCATTGACAAAGAAATGATCAGTCTATAATTTTAATGGTAGGTTTATTTGAACAGTGAGAGACAGAATAAAAACAAAAAAATCCAGAAAAACGCATGTCAAAAATGTTATAAATTGATTTGCATTTTTTATGAGGGAAATACGTATTTGACCCCCTCTCAATCAGAAAGATTTATGGCTCCCAGGTGTCTTTTATACAGGTAACGAGCTGAGATTAGGAGCACACTCTTAAAGGGAGTGCTCCTAATCTCAGCTTGTTACCTGTATAAAAGACACCTGTCCACAGAAGCAATCAATCAATCAGATTCCAAACTCTCCACCATGGCCAAGACCAAAGAGCTCTCCAAGGATGTCAGGGACAAGATTTTAGACCTACACAAGGCTGGAATGGGCTACAAGACCATTGCCAAGCAGCTTGGTGAGAAGGTGACAACAGTTGGTGTGATTATTCGCAAATGGAAGTAACACAAAATAACTGTCAATCTCCCTCGGCCTGGGGCTCCATGCAAGATCTCACCTCGTGGAGTTGCAATGATCATGAGAACGGTGAGGAATCAGCCCAGAACTACACGGGAGGATCTTGTCAATGATCTCAAGGCAGCTGGGACCATGGTCACCAAGAAAACAATTGGTAACACACTACGCCGTGAAAGACTGAAATCCTGCAGCGCCCGCAAGGTCCCCCTGCTCAAGAAAGCACATATACAGGGCCGTCTGAAGTTTGCCAATGAACATCTGAATGATTCAGAGGAGAACTGGGTGAAAGTGTTGGGGTCAGATGAGACCAAAATCGAGCTCTTTGGCACCAACTCAACTCGCCGTGTTTGGAGGAGGAGGAATGCTGCCTATGACCCCTAGAACACCATCCCCACCGTCAAATATGGAGGTGGAAACATTATGCTTTGGGGGTGTTTTTCTGCTAAGGGGATAGGACAACTTCACCGCATCAAAGGGACGATGGACGGGGCCATGTACCGTCAAATCTTGGGTGAGAACCTCCTTCCCTCAGCCAGGGCATTGAAAATGGGTCGTGGATGGGTATTCCAGCATGACAATGACCCAAAACACACGGCCAAGGCAACAAAGGAGTGGCTCAAGAAGAAGCACATTAAGGTCCTGGAGTGGCCTAGCCAGTCTCCAGACCTTAATCCCATAGAAAATCTGTGGAGGGAGCTGAAGGTTCGAGTTGCCAAACGTCAGCCTCGAAACCTTAATGACTTGGAGAAGAGCTGCAAAGAGGAGTGGGACAAAATCCCTCCTGAGATATGTGCAAACTGGTGGCCAACTACAAGAAACGTCTGACCTCTGTGATTGCCAACAAGGGTTTTGCCACCAAGTACTAAGTCATGTTTTGCAGAGGGGTCAAATACTTATTTCCCTCATTAAAATGCAAATCAATTTAACATTTTTGACATGCGTTTTTCTGGATTTTTTTGTTGTTATTCTGTCTCACTGTTCAAATAAACCTGCCATTTAAAATTATAGACTGATAATTTCTTTGTCAGTGGGCAAATGTACAAAATCAGCAGGGGATCAAATACTTTTTTCCCTCACTGTATGTTAAAGTATCCCTTTTAAACATGGTAGATGTTTCCTCCCTCTCTCTGTAGCTGTTAAAGACTCCTTCAGCAGTACAGACTTTCAGATGAGACGGGAACACACACTTGTGGAACCAAGAGACAATCTACGCATATTCTACCAGGTGAGAGAGAGACACATACACACACTTCTATTCTTGACTTTTGTGAAGATTGTATTGTGCGGTCCATATCTGAATCACAGCTGTGTTGTGCTTGTCTTTTGTTCTCTTGTTATGTGTCTGTCTGACTGGGAGTGGATGGTATTAGAGACCTGGCCCTCTATAACAGGTCTGACTGGGAGTGGATGGTATTAGAGACCTGGCCCTTTATAACAGGTCTGACTGGGAGTGGATGGTATTAGAGACCTGGCCCTTTAACAGGTCTGACTGGGAGTGGATGGTATTAGAGACCTGGCCCTTTAACAGGTCTGACAATAGGGAAGAGGGTGCCATTTGGGACGGTGTATTTTAGACTTGGCTGTCTATGATGGGGAATTTCTTAGTTTCTACTGACTCCTACCCTTTTCTGTGGGATTACGTACTCGCTCTCCCCTCTCCCTCTCTAGTTCCTGTATAACCACAACACACAGCAGCAGACCGAGGCAAGGGATGACCTCCACTGTCCCTGGTGCACTCTGAACTGTAGAAGACTCTACAGTCTCCTCAAACACCTCAAACTGGCCCACAGCAGATTCATCTTCAACTACATGGTGAGAGAGAGACTGTGTGTGTGTTTCTGGTGCACTCTGAACTGTAGAAGACTCTACAGTCTCCTCAAACTGGCCCACAGCAGATTCATCTTCAACTATGACTGCATTTAGACAGGCAGCCCAATTCTGATCTTTTGCCAATAATTGGGCTGCCTGTGTAAAGAGCCGAGGAGTTGAGAGAGGCCAGGGGTTAGGTTGGGGGTGGTAGGGTGTGTGTACTGTAAGGAGCTCTACATATTGCGGGCCGAATAAGGGCTAGTTATTACAAAATATATAGGTCCATTGTGATTTTAACATTTTTTTTTAATGACTTCCCGTTCTCTCTCCTCTCCTCTTCTCCCTCCTCCCCTCCCTCTCCAGCCCCACCCTAAGGGAGCGAGGATAGACGTGTCTATTAATGAGCATTATGACGGGGCGTACGCTGGTAATCCTCAGGATATTCACAGTCAGCCTGGCTTCGCCTTCAGCAGGAACGGACCCGTCAAGAGAACCCCTGTCACACACATCCTCGTCTGCAGGTAACTGGGTACACACACACACACACACACACGTACGTGTCAGACACACACCGACACATCCTCGTCTGCAGGTAACACACACCCCTATAGTTGAAGAGGCCAATTCAACTTGAAGTCCAGGTATCAGACAAAGGGCCCTATCAGATATGTATGTATGTAGTTGGTTCTGTATATTAGCTAATATACATGGGATCTAACTAGGCAGAGTTGCAAAGAAAAAGCCATATCTCAGACTGGCCAATAAAGATAAAAGATTAAGATGGGCAAAAGAACACAAGACACTGGACTTTTTCTTTGCAACTCTGTCTAGAAGGTCAGCATCCCGGAGTCGCCTCTTCACTGTTGACGTTGAGACTGGTGTTTTGCGGGTACTATTTAATGAAGCTGCCAGTTGAGGACCTGTGAGGCATCTGTTTCTCAAACTAGACACTCTAATGTATTTGTCCTCTTGCTCAGTTGTGCACCGGGGCCTCCCACTCCTCTTTCTATTCTGGTTAGAGACAGTTTGCGCTGTTCTGTGAAGGGGGTAGTACACAGCGTTGTACGAGATCTTCAGTTTCTTGGCAATTTCTCTCATGGAATAGCCTTCATTTCTCAGAACAAGAATAGACTGACGAGTTTCAGAAGAAAGTTCTTTGTTTCTGGCCATTTTGAGCCTGTAATCTAACCCACAATTGCTGATGCTCCAGATACTCAACTAGTCTCAAGAAGGCCAGTTGTATTGCTTCTTTAATCAACACAACCGTTTTCAGCTGTGCTAACATAATTGCAAAAGGGTTTTCTAATGATCAATTAGCCTTTTAAAATGATAAACTTGGATTAGCAAACATAATGTGCCATTGGAACACAGGACTGATGGTTGCTAGAAAGCCTGAACGCAAGATGAGTCACACAGTGGAGGAATGTATTGCCTGTAGCCTAATGTAACTGGTAAGCTGTAAGTAGCACTTCACTTTTTAATATGGACAACGGCTGTGATGATTTTTCAACAATATTTATAACATATTGACACAATTACAATCTTTTATAGAATATTAATCTAATTTAATCAATTATAGGTGGAAGAATTGTATTTAATTAACATTTAGCAAGCCAGCAGCAGATGAAACAAAGTGAATTCTCTCCTCCGTCTCTCCCCGGTTCTGGTTTGCCATCTATCTTGCTACCTTTACTAGCCCATACCAGTGACAAACTTAGCTATGTTATCGACATATACAGTGGGGAAAAAAAGTATTTAGTCAGCCACCAATTGTGCAAGTTCTCCCACTTAAAAAGATGAGAGAGGCCTGTAATTTTCATCATAGGTACACGTCAACTATGACAGACAAATTGAGGAAAAAAATCCAGAAAATCACATTGTAGGATTTTTAATGAATTTATTTGCAAATTATGGTGGAAAATAAGTATTTGGTCACCTACAAACAAGCAAGATTTCTGGCTCTCACAGACCTGTAACTTCTTCTTTAAGAGGCTCCTCTGTCCTCCACTCGTTACCTGTATTAATGGCACCTGTTTGAACTTGTTATCAGTATAAAAGACACCTGTCCACAACCTCAAACAGTCACACTCCAAACTCCACTATGGCCAAGACCAAAGAGCTGTCAAAGGACACCAGAAACAAAATTGTAGACCTGCACCAGGCTGGGAAGACTGAATCTGCAATAGGTACGCAGCTTGGTTTGAAGAAATCAACTGTGGGAGCAATTATTAGGAAATGGTTGACATGCAAGACCACTGATAATCTCCCTCGATCTGGGGCTCCACGCAAGATCTCACCCCGTGGGGTCAAAATGATCACAAGAACGGTGAGCAAAAATCCCAGAACCACACGGGGGGACCTAGTGAATGACCTGCAGAGAGCTGGGACCAAAGTAACAAAGCCTACCATCAGTAACACACTACGCCGCAAGGGACTCAAATCCTGCAGTGCCAGACGTGTCCCCCTGCTTAAGCCAGTACATGTCCAGGCCCGTCTGAAGTTTGCTAGAGTGCATTTGGATGATCCAGAAGAGGATTGGGAGAATGTCATATGGTCAGATGAAACCAAAATAGAACTTTTTGGTAAAAACTCAACTCGTCGTGTTTGGAGGACAAAGAATGCTGAGTTGCATCCAAAGAACACCATACCTACTGTGAAGCATGGGGGTGGAAACATCATGCTTTGGGGCTGTTTTTCTGCAAAGGGACCAGGACGACTGATCCGTGTAAAGGAAAGAATGAATGGGGCCATGTATCGTGAGATTTTTGAGTGAAAACCTCCTTCCATCAGCAAGGGCATTGAAGATGAAACGTGGCTGGGTCTTTCAGCATGACAATGATCCCAAACACACCGCCCGGGCAACAAAGGAGTGGCTTCGTAAGAAGCATTTTAAGGTCCTGGAGTGGCCTAGCCAGTCTCCAGATCTCAACCCCATAGAAAATCTTTGGAGGGAGTTGAAAGTCTGTGTTGCCCAGCGACAGCCCCAAAACATCACTGCTCTAGAGGAGATCTGCATGGAGGAATGGGCCAAAATACCAGCAACAGTGTGTGAAAACCTTGTGAAGATTTACAGAAAACGTTTGACCTGTGTCATTGCCAACAAAGGGTATATAACAAAGTATTGAGAAACTTTTGTTATTGACCAAATACTTATTTTCCACCATAATTTGCAAATAAATTCATAAAAAATCCTACAATGTGATTTTCTGGATTAATTTTTCTCATTTTGTCTGTCATAGTTGACGTGTACCTATGATGAAAATTACAGGCCTCTCATCTTTTTAAGTGGGAGAACTTGCACAATTGGTGGCTGACTAAATACTTTTTTCCCCCACTGTAGCAGTACACAAACAAAATCTAACTCAGTTATTTTGCTAGCTAGAAAGAAATGGCCACAAATTCATTCAGAAACGGAGGAAGAGGATAGCTAGCTATAGCAAGCTAACCTTAGCAGCTGCCTCTTCAACAAGAAGCAACTGTGACAACATTAATCCTAAAATAAAAATTTAAAACTTTCCCCATTGAGCAAAATCGATATTCACACCTCCAAAGAATGCATGGCTCTGGGGCTTCTCCGAAATGCCACCAGATCCGCAATCGGATCCATGGCCGACGCGTCGCATTTCAGTTTACCCCGCACTCAGCAGGCTGTGTAGAAAACTCATGGGCATTAATATGGAGTTGGGCCCCCCTTTGCTGCTATAGCAGCCTCCACTCTTCTGGGAAGGCTTTCCACTATGTTGCTGCGGGGACTTGCTTCCATTCAGCCACGAGCATTAGTGAGGTCGGGCACTGATGTTGGGCGATTAGGCCTGGCTCGCAGTCGACGTTCCAATTCATCCCAAAAGGTGTTCGATGGGGTTGAGGTCAGGGTTCTGTGCAGGCCAGTCAAGTTCTTCCACACCGATCTCGACAAACCATTTCTGTATGGACCTCGCTTTGCACAGGGGCATTGTCATGCTGAAACAGGAAAGGGCCTTCCCCAAACTGTTGCCACAAAGTTGGAAGCACAGAATAGTCTAGAATGTCATTGTATGCTGTAGCGTTAAGATTTCCCTTCACTGGAACTAAGGGGCCTAGCCTGAACCATGAAAAACAGCCCAAGACCATTATTCCTCCTCCACCAAACTTTACAGTTGGCACTATGCATTCGGGCAGGTAGCGTTCTCTTGGCATCCGCCAAACTCAGATTTGTCCGTCGTACTGCCAGATGGTGAAGCGTGATTCATCGCTCCAGAGAACACGTTTCCGCTGCTCCAGAGTCCAATGGCAGTGAGCTTCCCACCACTCCAACCGACGCTTGGCACTACGCATGGTGAGCTTAGGCTTGTGTGCGCCTGCTCTGCTGTGGAAACCCATTTCATTAAGCTCCCGACAAACAGTTATTGTGCTGACGTTGCTTCCAGAGGCAATTTGGAACTCGGTAGTGAGTGTTTCAATCGAGGACAGACTATTTTTACGCGCTTCAGCACACTGCCGTCCTGTTCTGTGAGCTTTTGTGGCCTACCACTTTGCGGCTGAGCTGTTGTTGCTCCTAGACATTTCCACTTCACAATAACTGCACTTACAGTTGACCGGGGCATCTCTAGCAAGGCAGAAATTTGACCAACTGACTTGTTGGAACGGTAAGCCATTCTACTGCCAATGATTGTCTATAGAGATTGCATGGCTGTGTGCTCGATTTTATACACCTGTCAGCAACGGGTGTGGCTGAAACAGCCGAATCCACTAATTTGAAGGGGTGTCCACATACCTTTTGTGTATATATACGTGCTTTTTGGTCTTAATTTAAGGTTAGGGTTAGGCATAAGGTTAGCAGTGTGGTTAAGGGACCAATTCATCCACCTAATGCTCACAAATGTATCTCACTCTTTTTTCATTCACCGTGTGACGATGACCACAGGGCTTTGTGGGATTTTTTTTCCAAAGTTAGAGCTGATTTGGAGAGAACCTCAAACCCAACTTTTAGAACAACATAATATTATAACAATTGATTTAAGAGTTTGTAATTTGGGTATGTTTTCTTGGGGTGCTCTAAGTTACTATTATATGCATTTCTGGCATTGAGAAATAGAAGCTGCTTTGAACATCCATCTTTACCTCTCTCTGTTTCCCTCTACCCCTCTCCTCTCTTCCTGTAGGATCTTTACCTCTCTCTCTCTTTCCCTCTACCCCTCTCTTCCTGTAGGATCTTTACCTCTCTCTCTCTTTCCCTCTACCCCTCTCTTCCTGTAGGATCTTTACCTCTCTCTCTCTTTCCCTCTACCCCTCTCCTCTCTTCCTGTAGGATCTTTACCTCTCTCTCTCTTTCCCTCTACTCCTCTCCTTTCTTCCTGTAGGATCTTTACCTCTCTAATTCTCTCTACCCCTCTCCTCTCTTCCTGTAGGCTAAAGCATGTATGTATGTACAACCGTGTATGCAGGTACAATTGACAGTCACTTACTAACCCCTCCCTCCCTCTCTCCTCCCCCAGACCTAAGCGTCTTCTCCCCCCCAGTCTGTGTGAGTTCCTGGAGGTTGATGGAGGAGAGGGAGACCAGCAGAGAATCATCACTGGTCACAACCGCCTCTACTTCCGGTCAGACAGCTGTACCCCCAAAACACCCCAGGAGGTAGAGCACGACAGTGAGGATGAGACAGACCCCTTCTGGCTCCGAGAGAGGACTATCATGGTGAGAGAGACACACACACACTGAGCAGGTAGCTACCACACACGGTGAGAGGACCATCATGGTGCGGGACTGACACACACTGTTCCTGCATTTACCTTTGTACAGTTCTGTTTATTCAGATTGTGTGTGTGGTGTTGCATTACACTAAGATTCACACATTAGGCCCAAACCCAGGTCTACTCTGCACCAATTAGACTGTAGGTATTCGACCCATAACCCAGGTCTACTCTGCACCAATTAGACTGTAGGTATTCGACCCATACAAACCCAGGTCTACTCTGCACCCATTACAGACTGTAAGTATTAGACCCATACAAACCCAGGTCTACTCTGCACCCATTACAGACTGTAAGTATTAGACCCATACAAACCCAGGTCTACTCTGCACCCATTACAGACTGTAAGTATTAGACCCATACAAACCCAGGTCTACTCTGTACCCATTACAGACTGTAGGGATTAGAGTACAGAGCCACATTTGAAATTGGGTTTGGAGTCTCCAATTTGACTCTGGATCCACTCTGACTGTTCTGTCTACAGCAAATACAGGAGTTTACAGACGTGAATGATGGAGAGAAGGAGGTGATGAAACTATGGAACCTCCATGTTATGAAGTATGGGTACGTACCACACACACACACACCTACATTTGACATTCTAGTCATTTAGCAGACGCTCTTATCCAGAGCGACTTACAGTTAGTGAGTGCATACATTTTCATACTTTCAAAATGTGAGGAAGACCTGAACGACACTATTGATGATGAATGGATACAGATATGTTTGAATGCCCAGTCATGTTCATATAATCTCAGACATAAATTACTGCAGTTTAAGACCATCCATAGAACATACTATATGCCAGTGAAATTGAATATCATGCACTCAGAAATGTAATTCCTCTGCTGGAGGTGTAAAACAAACGGGGACATATTTGCATGTTATGATCTTGTGAAGACTGGCTGTAATTCTGTCAGAGTATGTTATTTTATCTCAGCATGTCTACAGATTCGTTGATCGTTTCTGATAACATTCTCCACTAACTTAGCCGCTATAAATGCTAAGAAATGCATTGCCATTAATTGGAAGGTTGGTTATCCTCCCAAAATGTCACAATGGATGGCAGAAATTGAAAGTTATGTATCACTAGATTTGATTTATTACAAGATTAAGGGTATACTGTGCAACTTCCATAAAGTCTGGGTGCCTTATATGGAATACTGTATGACAAAAGGGGTCTGTATTGAAAGATATTTTTTTGTCTAGCAGTTGCAAATTAATAAATAGATTTCATTTATTATGGCACACAAGACACATGTCTGATTTGCGCCTGTCAGTGGACTAATCCATTGAGGCCACTGGGATGATTTAGTCCAAGAATATGGGGATTGTGGCTCAGATGCACAAGGCACTTCTCTCTCCAGAATGCGTTCTCTCCCGCCATTTTGTTGGTTTTCATTGTTTCATAACTTCATTGTGTGCATTGGTTGCTGTGTCTATCAATTCCCCATTACATATATCACCAGTAGTAGCCTACATTTACCATTAATTGCCATCATTTATAATCTGTAATGTTTGTTTGGTTAAGGTAATTTCGGTTAATCCATTCAATATATTACAGTTATTTAACGTTGTCATTGTCGGATTTGACGTGTTTTGCAGAACTCATAACTTATGCTACACTTGTGAGAAACAAGATTTAAACAAAATTAGGCAGGGACAGCCCTAGTAGAAATGCAGGAAATTCATTTTAGATTAGGTTATGTCCCACCCACTTCTAAAACCAAAGTGCACCCTTGCTCAGCTCAGTCGCTACTCGCGAACATTGCTGGTGTTTCTGATTTAATAAACAATGCCATTCTGGTGGGTGGTACCATTCAAATAAAACCCAGCACTGAAACGAAACGTAGGCTAAAAATAATTTACAAGTACACTTTTTCGAGCTGAAAGAAGATGGCCAGACCTTACGGATGTTGCACAATGATGTAAGTCAATATGTCATCGTTTAAGTCAAAGTATGATATATTTGGGCTTTAAGTGTTAACCGAACTGCCCGCTTCATGGCAATGAGGGGGTTCGATTAATCTCGCTGGGCGCCCATGTTGGCGTGTTTTGCACCAGGTGAACGTTGATTACATTCGTTTTGGAATTGGGCTGACTCCCTGGTTTGAGCCAGGTGCCCGGTTCAAAGCCCACAGTGATGTAGGCTCAAAACAAAGTGATGTAGGAGCACATGGAGTAATGAGTAGGATTCTGTGTTTTCACATGCAAAAGTGATTGCTTTTTAGCATCTGCCTTCCCAATGAAAACGAGTTCGAAAGTTAAAAAATGTATTTTATGGAAAATATATGTATTTTTCTAGACGATGCACCGTGCTGCCTTGTTGACAAAATGACTGAGCGCAGCACAGATTACTGTTCGATTTGAGTAAAGCGCTCCTCCCTCCCCGCTTTCGCCCGATGACATAACGGGCCTTTGACCGGTGCCTCGCGGCTCAGCATAATCGAATCAGCTCACTGACGTGTCTTTTCCTATGAAATTGATTTCAACTGGTGTGGGCGTTTAAACCATGAAAAATTAGAGAAACGAATGTAAAGACTACAGAGTTGCCTGCCATAATGTCAGATCGTGACCAAATTACTCTCCTGCTAAATAAATAAATAAGTACATTGAACTCACTGCAGAAATGTGTGAACCAGAAAAAGGCTATCCTCACTATCTATTGTTCCTGCAGTGAGGAATTACAATATTCAGAGAATGTTTTTATGACGTTGTGCCGATAATCGTTGTCTGGAGCTCAAAAAGCAGTAGTAGCAGTATGCAAATCAGGGAGCCAAATAAACGGCTCTTTCACCAATGCAATTCGGTTACCGACGTTCACCAAAAAGAGCCGTTCGTTCACAAACGACCCATCGGTAGTATCTGCTGGAGCCATATCTTATTTAAGCGTTTCTTCTCTGAAAGGAGTCAACTCCGGCTTGCTTTGTTTACAATTCGCCATGCCGTTCACAGCCGTCCCGTTATGCTACCTATTGGGGATTTATTATTCTCCTAAATTGATGGGATGACTAACTTAGAAAGAATGCAGTCTTGACTGGGCTAATGTAGGCTGTGACACCTGGCAGGCTGTGATTGATGTGAAGAGCTGTTTTAGGGGGTAAAATAAGATAAGGATTGTGTCTTCAAATGCTAGACTATACTGGTTCTTTGTGATCTGTGAGCCTTCCTTGGACGTAGGAATGATGTCTAAGGGAGCTGGCTCTTCTCACTATGATAGGTTGTTATGATAATCTTGTGCCTGGCTGAAGTGTGCAACAAATGGCGCCGAGGAGATGAGACCAACCCCTGAACCAACGGATTGGCTGAGAAAGTTTAAACCACACTCAGTCCTCTACTCTAATTGGCCAGCAGAGAAGTGGGAAATTCCCTCTGTCAGAGTTTTTGAGTATTGAATCTAAAACAATGTGTTAGTTCTCTGATAATGCCCTGCGAGGTATTTCAAAGAGCCCGTATATACGAAACATCATATTTACCATTGAAGGTTTTTGCATTAATTAAAATAACTAGTATATCTTAGAAGTCGTGTTGACCTCTTTTGTTCCTAATACCAGATTTGAATTGACGCGACTTTGACATACCTTTGTCAGCTTGCCCCAACAATAAATTACCCAGCTAGCTAGCTAGCTACTGTAGTAATTTCAAATGACAGTTAACACCACAATAACCATATCAACAAAATGTAGTGTTAGAAATTGCGTAATTCAAATCTGGTATTGGAATAAGAATCAAGAGATCTTCAATCCAAGCTTAATTTATTATATGCAAAATGTATGTATGATAAGTATGAAGGTTCGTATATACGGGTCCGCTGAGATACCACGCAGGGCACTCAGAGAACTGATCCATTGTTCTAAGTTCTTCTTCAAATACTCTGACAGAAAGCCTCCACCTCTTCTGTTGGCCAACCAGAGCAAAGGACTGAGTGTGGTTCAGCCAATCCGTTGGCGCAGGGGTTGGTCCCAACTCCTCGGCACTCCATTTGTTGCACATTGTTGCCAGGCATGTTGCCAGGCATAAGTTGCTATCATTATAACCTGTGGAGTCAGCACCCAAAAGACACCATTCCACTGTACTCCATGTACCCATGTTCAAGGACAGTTTCACAGACAACAAAGAGAGAGTGTTCGTATCTGTAAGAAATACAAGTCTTATCTGTCCTACCCCTAACGTTCCTTACATGAATAACAGCCTGTTATGTGAAACAATTTATATCAGTACAGTTCATTAATGTATTCCTTCCAAGCTATTCATCACATACAGATCCAATTATGAGAAAAATAGAACCCAACAGTAGCTTGCTTACGTTAACTAGCTAGATACCTTTTTCTACGTTTTAATTCGTTAGCCTAGCAGCTTCGGATTAGTTGTCTAGCAAGCAGACAAAGTTAACATTATTAGCTAGCTACAGTAACGTTAGCTAACATAAGCTATTTGAATACATATTTATGGCTAAATTGTCCATTGAAAGAGGTGAATAAGCTAGCTTTTGCTGTAAACGCATTTATTATAAACAATGGCTGCACCACAATGAAGTATTTTATATTCGATAATATCTACCGTGTAAAGTTGGTTGGTCCCTCTCTCTCTTGAAGAAGCTGGCTAACTAGTCAATGGGAACTTTGTCTTCATGCCTCCATGTTATGAAGTATGGGTACATACCAGACACACCTACCTCCATGTTATGAAGTATGGGTACGTACCACACACACACCTACCTCCTACACCTACCTCCATCCAGGCTCTGTCGCAGCCGGCCGCGACTGGGAGACTCATGGGCGGCGCACAATTGGCCCAGCGTCGTCCAGGGTAGGGGAGGGAATGGCCGGCAGGGATGTAGCTCAGTTGATAGAGCATGGCGTTTGCAACGCCAGGGTTGTGGGTTCGATTCCCACGGGGGGCCAGTATAAAAAAAATAAGAAGATATGTATTCACTAACTGTAAGTCGCTCTGGATAAGAGTGTCTGCTAAATGACTAAAATGTAAATGTATGTTATGAAGTATGGGTACCTACATTTACATTTGACATTTTAGTCATTTAGCAGACGCTCTTATCCAGAGCGACTTACAGTTAGAGTGCATACATTTTTTATTTATTTTTTCTTTTTTATACTGCGTACCACACACACACACACACACACCTACCTCCATGTTATGAAGTATGGGTACGTACCACACACACACCTACCTCCATGTTATGAAGTATGGGTACGTACCACACACACACCTACCTCCATGTTATGAAGTATGGGTACGTACCAGACAGACAGACACACACACACACACACACCTACCTCTATGTTATGAAGTATGGATTCGTATCTCCCATTAAAGCCCTGGCCTCATCATAAAGCCTTTGTCTTAAGTTTCATAAGACGTTGCTGTGTGTCAGTGTCATTCTCTAAAGCTTCATAAGATGTTGCTGTGTGTCAGTGTCATTCTCTAAAGCTTCAAAAGACGTTGCTGTGTGTCAGTGTCATTCTCTAAAGCGTCATAAGACGTTGCTGTGTGTCAGTGTCATTCTCTAAAGCTTCATAAGACGTTGCTGTGTGTCAGTGTCATTCTCTAAAGCGTCATAAGACGTTGCTGTGTGTCAGTGTCATTCTCTAAAGCTTCAGAAGACGTTGCTGTGTGTCAGTGTCATTCTCTAAAGCGTCATAAGACGTTGCTGTGTGTCAGTGTCATTCTCTAAAGCTTCATAAGACGTTGCTGTGTCAGTGTCATTCTCTAAAGCTTCATAAGACGTTGCTGTGTGTCAGTGTCATTCTCTAAAGCGTCATAAGACGTTGCTGTGTGTCAGTGTCATTCTCTAAAGCGTCATAAGACGTTGCTGTGTGTCAGTGTCATTCTCTAAAGCTTCATAAGACGTTGCTGTGTCAGTGTCATTCTCTAAAGCTTCATAAGACGTTGCTGTGTGTCAGTGTCATTCTCTTGAACTCTGATATGCTGCTGTTCAGCTTCCTCTTCCAAGCTCCGCCTCCCTTCTGGCATCCTCTGTCATTTTAAGATGGTAGTATATGTTGCAACTCTAGCTAGGTTTCCATCCAATCAAAATGTTAGCTGACATGGGCTAATTGAGTGACTGTCCGTAGCTAGGTTTCCATCCAATTGGCGACAGATTTTAATGCAAATATTCTAAAATCCGCATATAAACACATTTTCCCACCAGAGATGTTTCCATCAAATTGACTTGTTGTTGATAAAAGGCTGTGTGATGACGTAGTGCACATAAAAATAACTTTTGTGGTTAAATTTCCATGTAATGAATAAAAAATACAATTGAAATGGATTTCCATCGCATTTTCAACTCTCTACTGGTGGTTTTGTCAGCAAAAATGTTGCGTTATATAGTGAATGTGCCCTCTGGTCTTGGCCCGTGCGCTCTAGCCAACAGCTGGCAGATACAGTGTGGGAATAGCCTACATGATGAGATTATTATGGACACAGGCTAGATTTATTTTTATTTGTCAAACGGCAGCCAAGCATCGACCATCATGTCACCAGAATAAGACCCTAGATATTTATTGGAAAGGAGCATCAAGCTCATCACCGTGCACTTTCACCACCCTGTGAAGTTCATAACTTATTTCACCTGTAGCCTAATAAACTGAGTTGTAGTGGGAGGACCACACCATATTGTCGCATGACTCCAAGTTTACTTCGATATGATGGTTGGATGGAAACCTGGTTAATGACATCTATTTCTCACTCATTTAACCATTTAGAGAGTTTAAAAATGCTCTCAATCAATCAATCAATCAATCAAATGTATTTATAAAGCCCTTTTTACATCAGCAGATGTCACAAAGTTCTATACAGAAACCCAGCCTAAAACCCCAAACAGCAAGCAATGTAAATGTAGAAGCACGGTGGCTAGGAAAAACTCCCTAGAAAGGCAGAAACCTAGAGAGGAACCAGGCTCTGAGGGGTGGCCTTCTGGCTGTGCCGGGTGGAGATTATAACAGTACATGGCCATTTTAAGGCCAGATTTGTTCTTCAAGATGATCAAACGTTCATAGATGACCAGCAGGGTCAAATAATAATCACAGTGGTTGTAGAGGTTGCAACAGGCAGGTCAGTACATCAGGAGTAAATATCAGTTGGCTTTTCATAGCCGAGCATTCAGAGGTCGAGACAGCAGGTGCGGGAGAGAGAGAGAGTGTTGAAAACAGCAGGTCTGGGACAAGGTAGCACGTCCGGTGAACAGGTCAGGGTTCCATAGCCGCAGGCAGAAGAATGGAAACTGGAGCAGCAGCACGACCAGGTGGACTGGGGACAGCAAGGAGTCATCAGGCCAGGTAGTCCTGAGGCATGGTCCTAGGGCTCATGTCCTCCGGGAGGAGAGGGAGAGAGAGAGAATTAGAGGGAACATACTTAAATACCCCCGGACAGGGCCAACCAGGCAGGATATTACCCCACCCACTTTGCCAAAGCACAGCCCCCACACCACTATAGGGATATCAACAGACCACCAACTTACTACCCTGAGACAAGGCTGAGTATAGCCCACAAAGATCTCCTCCACCGCACACCCTGAGGGGGCGCAAAACCGGACAGGAAGATCACGTCTGTGACTCAACCCACTCAAGTGCCACACCCCTCCTAGGGACAGCATTGAAGAGCACTAGTAAGCCAGTGACTCAGCCCCCGTAATGGGGTCAGAGGCAGAGAATCCCAGTGGAGAGACGGGAACCGGCCAGGCAGAGACAGCAAGGGCGGTTCGCACCCCTGAGCCAGACTACACTCAATCATAAGACCTACTGAAGAGATGAGTCTTCAGTAAAGACTTAAAGGTCGAGACCGAGTCTGCATCTCTCACATGGATAGGCAGACCATTCCATAAAAATTGAGCTCTATGGGAGAAAGCCCTACCTCCAGCTGTTTGCTTAGAAATTCTAGGGACAATAAGGAGGCCTGCGTCTTGTGACCGTAGCGTACGTGTAGGTATGTACAACAGAACCAACTCTGAGAGATAAGTAGGAGCAAGCCCATGTAATGCTTTGTAGGTTAGCAGTAAAACCTTAATATGGAGGTTAAACACAATGTAACCTCCATATTAACACAATGTAACCTCCATATTAACCAGGCGCTCTAGACTAGAGCCTCCATTGTGTCTGGAGCAGGCTGAACGTTTGACATCTCTACTCTAACCCCCCACTCTAATCCTCTCTACTCTAACCCCCTACTCTAACCCCCCTCCTCTCTACTCAAACCCCCTACTCTAACCCTCCTCCTCTCTACTCTAACCCCCTACTCTAAATCTCCTCCTCTCTACTCTAACCCTCCTCCTCTCTACTCTAACCCTCCTCCTCTAACCCCTACTTTAACCCTCCTCCTCTAACCCCCCACTCTAACCCTCCTCCTCTCTACTCTAACCCCCCACTCGAACCCCCTACTCTAACCCTCCTACTCTCTACTCTAACCCTCCTCCTCTAACCCCCCACTCTAACCCTCCTCCAACCCCCCACTCTAACCCTCCTCCTCTCTCTCTCTCTGCCCCTCAGCTACATAGCAGATAACCAGATGAACGGAGCGTGTCTGGCGTTTGTGGAAGGTTGCGGTGCGTACATCGCCAGGAAGAACCTCTGTAGGAACTTCCTGTTACACCTGGTCAGCATGCACGACTTTAAACTGGTTACCACGACAACCATCAACCAGGCCATGACACGCCTCCGACACATCCAGCGGCAGGAGGGAGGAGAGGGGGATGGAGGAGAGGAGAGGGCGACAGCGCTGGAGTCTCAGCCTGAGCTGGAACCTGACTCTGCCACATGTAATGACCACAACACGTATGGTAAGAGTAACCATGGTAATGGCCGCATCAATGGAAACGGCATTGGCGATGATGATGAAGAAGCTGGTAGTTCTGTTGCTGTGGAAACGTCCAGGCCGAGCAAGAGGCATAAGTTCTGAGGTACCCTCCGCCCCTCTCCTGGAAGAGTGATAAGAATATAAAATGGCGCCCGGCGATGGTGATTGGCTGGGTGGAGGGTGAAAGAGGGTGTGGTGTTGGTAGTGATTGGAGGGAATAAGAGACTCCTGATGACATCATTCCAAACAGGTGTTGGGTTTACTGTATAGAAGTGGTGGGCCAGAATCATTTAAGCCCATTTGGACACACATAAATACACACACACTCTCATTGTCCCACTGGTTATAGCAAGGATACGTACATTTAGTGTTTTCTCATGTCTGGTTCTTCAGTCTCCCATGATGTAATTAGAGTAACGTTACAATGACCATGAGTTCTGAGTAACTTAGCCTGGGTCCCAAATAACACCTTATTCCCTTTATAGTAGTGCACAACCTTTCACCAGGCTAGCATTCTGTCCAGGAGGTGTACTTGTACATCAAGCTGCCTGCTATAGACTAGCATTCTGTCCAGGAGGTGTACTTGTACATCAAGCTGCCTGCTATAGACTAGCATTCTGTCCAGGAGGTGAACTTGTACATCAAGCTGCCTGCTATAGACTAGCATTCTGTCCAGGGGGTGTACTTGTACATCAAGCTGCCTGCTATAGACTAGCATTCTGTCCAGGAGGTGTACTTGTTGTTACAAGGCTTACTTACTATTTTTGGCCAGGGCCCTAAATAGATCAGGGGTTCCCAAACTGTTTCACTCAGGCCCCCCTTCCAGCATTGGGGAACATCCATTTCTATGGGCACAAGCACTGTTCATACCCCTCTTATTGGCAGAGAGAACATTTTGCAGGTTTAAAGCTTATTTCCTGCAATTCTATACATTTTGCTATGTCTAACGTGTATTCATGTGATATTTGAGTGACAAAAAAAAGGAGTATCTAAGGTCTAAAAAAAAAACTAGCAAAAACGTTAGCCGACATGGGCTAGTTGATCTGGACATTCCTTACAAGTTATAAAAAGCTCTCTAAGAAATGCAATGATTGACATGACAAGAGGAAAACTGATGATGCACTACCCAATTTATATTGCACCTTGTGCATTCTACTATTTCAACTTTCAGGAGTAAGTTGAAATCCGGACTGAGTTCCTTATACATACATATATATACAGTGGGGAGAACAAGTATTTGATACACTGCCGATTTTGCAGGTTTTCTTACTTACAAAGCATGTAGAGGTCTGTAATTTTTATCATAGGTACACTTCAACTGTGAGAGACGGAATCTAAAACAAAAATCCAGAAAATCACATTGTATGATTTTTAAGTAATTAATTTGCATTTTATTGCATGACATAAGTATTTGATACATCAGAAAATCAGAACTTAATATTTGGTACAGAAACCTTTGTTTGCAATTACAGAGATTATATGTTTCTTGTAGGTCTTGACCAGGTTTGCACACACTGCAGCAGGGATTTTGGCCCACTCCTCCATACAGACCTTCTCCAGATCCTTCAGGTTTCGGGCTGTCGCTGGGCAATACGGACTTTCAGCTCCCTCCAAAGATTTTCTATTGGGTTCAGGTCTGGAGACTGGCTAGGCCACTCCAGGACCTTGAGATGCTTCTTACGGAGCCACTCCTTAGTTGCCCTGGCTGTGTGTTTCGGGTCGTTGTCATGCTGGAAGACCCAGCCATGACCCATCTTCAATGCTCTTACTGAGGGAAGGAGGTTGTTGGCCAAGATCTTGCAATACATGGCCCCATCCATCCTCCCCTCAATACGGTGCAGTCGTCCTGTCCCCTTTGCAGAAAAGCATCCCCAAAGAATGATGTTTCCACCTCCATGCTTCACGGTTGGGATGGTGTTCTTGGGGTTGTACTCATCCTTCTTCTTCCTCCAAACACGGCGAGTGGAGTTTAGACCAAAAAGCTCTATTTTTGTCTCATCAGACCACATGACCTTCTCCCATTCCTCCTCTGGATCATCCAGATGGTCATTGGCAAACCTCAGACGGGCCTGGACATGCGCTGGCTTGAGCAGGGGGACCTTGCATGCGCTGCAGGATTTTAATCCATGACGGCGTAGTGTGTTACTAATGGTTTTCTTTGAGACTGTGGTCCCAGCTCTCTTCAGGTCATTGACCAGGTCCTGCCGTGTAGTTCTGGGCTGATCCCTCACCTATCTCATGATCATTGATGCCCCACGAGGTGAGGTCTTGCATGGAGCCCCAGACCGAGGGTGATTGACCGATTGATCTTGAACTTCTTCCATTTTCTAATAATTGCGGCAACAGTTGTTGCCTTCTCACCAAGCTGCTTGCCTATTGTCCTGTAGCCCATCCCAGCCTTGTGCAGGTCTACAATTCTATCCCTGATGTCCTTACACAGCTCTCTGGTCTTGGCCATTGGTGAGAGGTTGGAGTCTGTTTGAGTGTGTGGACAGGTGTCTTTTATACAGGTAACAAGTTCAAACAGGTGCAGTTAATACAGTTAATGAGTGGAGAACAGGAGGGCTTCTTAAAGAAAAACTAACAGGTCTGTGAGAGCCGGAATTCTTACTGGTTGGTAGGTGATCAAATACTTATGTCATGCAATAAAATGTAAATTAATTACATAAAAATCATACAATGTGATTTTCTGGATTTTTGTTTTAGATTCCGTCTCTCACAGTTGAAGTGTACCTATGATAAAAATTACAGACCTCTACATGCTTTGTAAGTAGGAAAACCTGCAAAAATCGGCAGTGTATCAAATACTTGTTCTCCCCACTGTATGTGTGTGTGTGTGTATATATATATATATATATATATATATATATATATATATATATATATATATATATATATATATATACTTTTTTTTTTTTGTGTGGGGAACCCCGTGCCCCCCAGTTTGGGAACCACTGATATATGGAATAGGGTGGCATTTGGGACGTACAATCACTCTGTACTGTGTCCAACCTACTTTAGCACCCGTATGGGGCGGCAGGTAGCTTAGTGGTTAAGAGCGTTGTGCCAGCAACCGAAAGGTCGCTAGTTCTAAGAAAGGTCGCTAGTTCCCGAGCCAACTAGGTGAAAAATCTGTCGATGTGCCCTTGAGCAAGGCACTTAACCCTAATTGCTCCTGTAAGTCGCTCTGGATAAGAGCGTCTGCTAAATGACTAAAATGTAAATGTCTTGTCTCAGGTGCCTGTTTGAGACGGACTTGGGTGTCTGTGCACTATATAGGGAATAGGGTGCCATTTGAGACCAACTCGCTTTGGGACGGACACATACATATATATATATATATATATATTCAGTATAGAGACAAACCGAAAAGCCTTGGGTTGTATTCACTAGGAACGAAACTGGGATGGGACTACCTGAACTTGTCCAATATAAACGCTTGTTTTCGTTGCAAAACGTTTTGCTACAGTGTGCCCTAATGAATACAACCTTAATGTATTGTTGTTTTTTATAAGGGGAATGGTTGTATGATGATGATGCATTCTGAACTGGAATGTTTTATTGTTGATGTTTATTGTTATGGTGGCCATTTTGAGGCTGAACTTGACGATGGTACGCTGGTCTGATCTGAAGTCCAGCTCTTGGAAACAGTGTTCTTGGACTATAAGGTGTCTATGGCTCAGGGTAGAAAGATCACTTTACCCACAATCCTAAACTAAATGTGTACTGCTATCAGACCTCTGTTCAAATATTACTTGGAGGGCGTTGAACGTTTGCTCTAGCCTGCCTGGAGTGCTAGATGGGAGGGGGTTACAGTTTTGGGACTATTCTATTGGTCCATTATGCCAGGCAAGCTCAGATAAAAGTATTTCAAATAGTATTTGAAAGCAGGTCTGGTTACCACTGTCAGTCCAGGTCCAGTGATGCTACTAGATAGATTATTCAGGCCCTCAGCAAGCACTGATCACAGGTCATCTGTAACCTTTTTGAGGATTGTCAAGTGAGGTCATTAGGTCCAAGGTTCAGTTACACTGTATGACCTCATTCATCATCAAGCTATCCCAAAAGTAGGAGTAACGCTCTGTACTATTCCAATAAGAAACACTTGTCTTCTGTTGCAAAATGTTTTGCTACAGTGCGCCTTAATGAACATGACCCAGGTTTGTGTGTACACACTCATCACTTCAGAAAAAAGACCAGAAAATAAAATGTGATTTTTTTCAAATGCAAAAGAAAAACAGGACTTTGTACACCAACATCCTAAAACCAGCTCGACGTTGGGAATTTAGTAATAAAGGAGTCGAATGTTTTTTCTATTTAAAAATAATAAAGATGCTTTGTACTATTAACGTCTCGTGGTTTTAATTGAATGGATACGGTTCTAACACTACTGGTCATGTTCCTGTAACTATCTCATGGATACGGTTGTCGTCATGTTACTGTAACTGTCATATTACGATAGGGGATACACCTTTTAGCTAGTCCGAGGATAGTACTTTTCAGACTGGGCCAGTAGAAATGTGCCAAACAACCCCTTCAGGCCAGCCAAATGTTGTATTTTCAAACATTACACGGGCCGGCAAATTTTAGACCCGATTGTTACCCTGGCTAGTAGAAATGTTCTGCTAGCCTGGCTGGCCCAAAATTCTAAAGTTCTATCCATCTCTTCACGTAGCTCCAATTGGATGGTTTCATATTTCAGACAAAATAACCCAAAATAGACTGACTAAGCAATTTATTGAATTTTTCTGGGGCATTCATTCTGTACTGAAGGAAGGTACAATGAGGTATACACAGATCTCAAAATAATAAGCCTTATAACAAGCAGGACTGGGGTCAATTCCATTTATGAAGTCAACTCACATTCCACTTTTCCTCAATTGGTAATTTCAGTTAACCTCCTGAATTTAATTGGAACTGAGCCCAACCCTGATTACAAGTCCAGTCTATGTTCCAAATGGAACCCTATTCCCTACATGGTGCACTACTTTTGACCAGCCCCTATGGACTCTGGTCTAAAGTAGTGCACTATATAGGGAATAGGGTGCCATTTGGAACGAACCCACAGTTACAGGAATCAGAGACAGATGTTTGCATGAAGAGGGTGGTGTTTGCATGAAGAGGGTGGTGGATGATGAGACGGACAGTTGTGTACCTTAACTGGTGGCCTGGTTCCATTTCCAATCCCACCACCTTACCCTTGCACCATGGCAGTCTTTCACTGATTTTGGACTTGAAGCAACACTTTCTGCAATACTGCCACAGTAACTATACAGCTACATACTATGTTCAGATATACCTTTTATCTACAAGCAGTGTCTTACAGCATGTATGAGCAGACATGTCCCTGTTAACATGTTAATGAGAAACTGTCACATCTTTAAAACATTTAACTTTTAACAGTCAGTCTGCTGAAGAGAGCTCTCTGTAGACCACCTCAACCATTCCATATCTGCAGACACACAGGATGCGTCCCAAATGTCACCCTATTCACTATAGTGCACTAGAGGAAACTGGAAATAGGGTGTCTTAGGACGGGCCCTCTATAATTCACATCTCACAAGTAGAACAAGTTCCCCCCAAAACAATTCACATGAAAGTACATCGCAATGTCTACAAGTGAAGTTACATTATTACATGGTTGTGAATACTGTTATGACGATTGTCTTAGCAAAAACAAATTAAAACGTTTTTAAAAAGCACATTTAAGAGCATGAAATGGAATCTGATTCAGAACACTTACAGATCTAGAACTTTGTACACACCGTGAGTTCTGCTCACACCGAGAGAGATGGTAGAAGAGGGTGACAAAGAAAAGAGGTTTAGATCTCTGGAGTAAGTTGTTTCACCGTGGTGGTGTTTGTCTTGTGGTAAACCAGACAAGCATGCTTTGCAGCTCATACGTTTGATGAAAGGAAAACGTCTCTCTCTGATCACTTCTAAGATCTCTGAACGAGACCACCCCCTTCTTGTTCTTCTCACATTTTAAAAGACAACATCACCATTTTGTGACTTTTGGAGAGAATGTGCATCTGAAATTGGCACAGAAAATGGCACCCTATTCCCTATATAGTGCACTACTTTAGACCAGGGCCCATAGGGCACTATGTAGGAAATAGGGTGCCATTTGTCTCTTGAAAAGGAGGAATGATTGTTCAGTTCTGGTACACAAGTCTGTATCGTACGGCAGGATATCTTATCAGCCATTTCAAAAAAGGGCTTTGCATACATTATGTCGATCCAGGTGCCAAGAGGAGAAAGGTGTGCTACTGGAGTTTAGATGTTCTGATACCAGAGAAGACAGCTCTCAGCCATTACAAGTCATACCTGGAGGAAGCGTAGGTAGCTGCAGAAGGCCAACTGAAACCTTTCCCAGGGTGTAAGGAACGGATGGGTCACACAGTGGGTAAAGGAGGGGTACATTACTGTAAACAACGCCAGTTGAATTCACATTTAGAAATGGAACTGACCCCAACACTGAAAAGTTGCTATAGGGGGTAGAGGCTAGGGTAAGTGTTTAAGGCAGTGGTATTCAAAGTCGGGGGTCGCGACCCCACTAAACAAAAAGTAAGTACAGATTATTGTATGAAACGATATACAAACGTTTGAGAAATAATTAGAAAAATACAATTTGAGTACATTTAGGTTTCTTTTCATTTTGATAAGAGATGAAAATGTAATGAATGAAGGGTTATTTGTTGATGTAAAAATCAAAATGTACCGATTTTAAGGTTATTATTTTTGGGGTGGGTTCAGGAGAAATGATTGCATAAAAATAGGGTCCCCGCTGAAAAGGTTTGAATACCACTGGTTTAAGGGGTCGGTCTATGGGTTGATTTGGGACAGGACAACAGCACGAGGTTGGCAGTCCAACTCCAGCAGACAGGGCTGCTATCCAATCAGCAACCTCAGAACACCAGCACCTTCCAACCAGGGTGGGCTAAGGAGCAGCCAAAGAACAGGCAGTCCACCCCCTGGTCCAGCAGCCAATCAAACACCACTTCCCGGTTCCCTGAGCCAATCGTAACCCTCAGCTTGAAGTTGCCTCCGTCGCTAAGGTTGTTATTGTTGCTAACAGGAAGTAGGTTGACCACTTCCATATCAAAGGTCACAGCAGAACCGAGGGTGACGGAAGGCAGCTGGTTGGTCATCTCTTTACCGTTGACAAACACCGCTCCTGGAGGAGAGGAGAGGAGTAGGAAGAGGGGAGGGATAGAAGGAGAGAGAGAAATCTCAGTCAAGTTTTCTAACTTTTAACGCTGCTGCTACTCTGCAATTGTATGCTTTACAAAAAAATTGTAAAATCTGAAAAAGTGATTTTGAGTGTACCATTGGTGGAGATGCAGACAGCCTGGTCTCTCTGGAGAGACTCCGCCTCTCCCTCACACCCCACACACAACCCGATACTGTCCCGCTTGTCCACCTGGCCCGTCGCAGAGATCCTACACAAGCACACACACATTAATCATAGCATAACATTACACAAGAGATTGTGATTGAGAGAGAGAGGGAGAAAGAGAGCGAGAGAGAGAGAGAGTGTGTGAGTACTGACTTGAAGGTGAGCGTCTGTCCACAGAAGTACGTTGGAGCGTTGGAGTAGAGAACCCCAGCTTTAGAGGGGGAGGAGTCACTCCGCATGGCAATGTTTCTTCTACTGCTGAGGATGTAGCCCTCACTGCCTGGACACCACTCTGTCACACACACACACAACACCCAGAAGAAGACAGAAACCATGACAACAGTACATCTTCAGTCGAGGCCGACTGCATTCAACAGATCTGGCTCCAGCAGACACCTTCTCACGCCACTGAGACATAGGAGATGAGACAGGATGTTGAATGATGCCAGAGACGACGGTGCATTACCGCCACCAACAGCATGGGTGGTGAAATTACATTTAGAATTACAAGCTAGGTACTTGCTAGTGTGTACTAACTAGCTAGTGTATGCGTACTAGCTAGCTAGCCTAGCTAGTGTGTACTAGCTAGCTGCACAAGCAACAGTGGCTAACATTACGCCCTGGACCAGAGCTAGTGCCCTGACTGTTTATGTGGTAGGACACTGACGCCCTGGACCAGAGCTAGTGACTCACAATACACGAGACCAACAAACGTCTACAGGTTGCGCACGCACATACCATCTGAGATGCTAAAATAGCATCTGAGACGCATGCACTTTGAGGTTCGTAGACCACGCTGCATCAGCATGCATATCCTGCAGCTGAATGTTCTCACTGCATCTGCTCCATGTGGTGCATGTTTACCATGGGGTGCCAGTGTGGTGTATCCTGTCTGTGGGACGCTCCAGGGGCTCCACTCGGTACGTCCCTCCCCTCGGGCACACACCCTGAACAGATGATCAGTGTGGGGGTCCAGGTGTAGGACCAGGAACTCCTGCTCCGGCCCGATGTAGGCATCCTCGTACTGACCTGAAGTGGAAGATACCCAGGTCAGGACCACAGAGATCAATTACTATTAATAAAGTACTATTCAATTAGAAAGTACTATTCCTATTATGAAGTACCATTAATATAATTACAATTTATAATATATTTCACATAATATGATATAATATTAATATTATTAAGCACTATTAATAAAGTACTAATATTTAATTATATGGTTAGGACAACATATTCACGGGTGCAAACTTGAGAAATTAAACAAATTCATGGGATCAGCACCATTACACTAAGACAGCGTCGCTGGTCCCTTTGTTACACTAAGACAGCGTCGCTGGTCCCTTTGTTACACTAAGACAGCGTCGCTGGTCCCTTTGTTACACTAAGACAGCGTCGCTGGTCCCTTTGTTACACTAAGACAGCGTCGCTGGTCCCTTTGTTACACTAAGACAGCGTCGCTGGTCCCTTTGTTACACTAAGACAGCGTCGCTGGTCCCTTTGTTACACTAAGACAGCGTCGCTGGTCCCTTTGTTACACTAAGACAGCGTCGCTGGTCCCTTTGTTTAGAAATGCACCCGCATTCATATTATTATTATCATATTGAATAAATATGAATGATACAGAATCACGTAGAAATTAATACGTTATGGGATATGAAATCATTTGACTCAACCTTCATATTTTCGACCTAGGTACTGACCAGACACTGAGCGACGATACTGCAGACGGTAGTCCTGCACCGCAAACTCATCATCCACCTAGAGAGAGAGAGAGTTAGGAAACACACCCCCACAGTACAGTGTGTTAATTAACATCAGTGTCATAACATCTGTAGGGTGTGTTAATTAACATCAGTGTCATAACATCTGTAGGGTGTGTTAATTAACATCAGTGTCATAACATCTGTAGGGTGTGTTAGTTAATATCAGTGTTATAACATCTGTAGGGTGTGTTAGTTAATATCAGTGTTATAACATCTGTAGGGTGTGTTAGTTAATATCAGTGTTATAACATCTGTAGGGTGTGTTAGTTAATATCAGTGTTATAAAATCTGTAGGGTGTGTCCCCTCACCTTACACCAGCGTACTAACACACTGCCTGGTCTCTCCTGGAGTTCCTCTATCTGGACTGGAGGGTGTGAAGAGACTGATCCGTGGCGTGACACTCTCTCTCTCACCGCGTACAGCAGAGAGTCATCCAGCTGGGCAGACACACACGGCACGTCTACCAACACTGGAACCTCCGGGAGGCTGGGACACACACACACACGCAGAGTTAACCTTTACATTGTATACTTAAAAGTTACAACATACATTACATACACAAAGAGAGTATGATAATTCCCTCCCTCCCCCTCTCTCTCTCCACCTGTCCAGCTGGATCTGAAGGGCCTTCTTGGTGAAACTCCCCAGCTTGTCCTCCTTCTCCCCCACACCACAACGGATAGCTACCTCACCTGAAGAGAGGAGAGGGGGAGAGGGAAAGAGAGAGATTAAAACCTTTAAATCAGTTGAATTACAGTAGATGAATCATGAAATAGGAGACCCCTGAGGTTTCATGGTACTGAGGAAGAGGACCGGAGCAATAGGGGAAACAGGATTCTGATGGTGTGTAATAAAAATAGTCATAATTTTGGGGGTGATTTTATTTGTCCTGTTACACAAGTGTGTAATGGTAATGTGTTTTATTGCATATCCCCAACTCCCCCTGAGACACTCTCAGAGAGTGGGATCACGGCCAAGTTTGCCATTGTACAGCGCCCTCTGGAGCAGTCAGGGTTAAGTGCCTTGCTCAAGGGCACAGCATTTTAGTGGTATTCGAACCAGCAACCTTTCGGTCCATGCGTCTGTCCATGTGTCTACCTATATCTTACCCTCGCGGAGCAGCTCGTCGGCAGTGCTGACTCCATGTTCTATGAGTTTCTGGCAGTCGTCCAGCGGTCGTACGCTGTCCTGCTCGATGACATCCACCTCGCTAAGGAGCACGCTCAGGCGCTCCGCCAGGAGGCGGGTCACAGCCGCCTGGAGCTCAGAGAAATGACGCTTCAACGCTTCCCTGGCCTGAGACGAGCTGCCTCGCACCTGGAGGAGGGAGAGGAGGAAGAGAGAGGGAGAGAGAGAGAGAGAGAGTGAAGAGAGAGAAGGAAGAGAGAGGGAGGGAGAGGAGGGGAGGAAGAGAGAGAGAGAGAGGGAAGAATGGACCAGTATTTTTTTTTTTATCTCTAGTTGATAGAAATGACGCTTCAACACTTCCCTGGCCTGAGACGAGCTGCCTCGCGCCTGGAGGGACAGGGAGGGGATTGATTGATTGGTTACATTTATATGCTAACTTTGTGCAAGAAATTTTGACATTTGGAAACAGTGCCAGTCCCCCGACGGAACAGGAAGCTGGTGGTTAGTCGTTTGCAGTGAAACTCAGTCTCCGTTTCAGTTCCTCTTAACAGACAAGCATGCTGAGTTGAACTCCTGTCAGTCTGGTAGTTTCATACTCTCTGTCCCAAATGGCTAGTAGCTTTATAGTGCACTACTTTTGACCAGGGCCCATAGAGCTCTGGTCAAAAGTAGTGCACTATATAGGGAGCTTTTTGGGACACACTCACTGACTGACAGTCCTCCTCTCACTCTCACTTAGACTATGAGAGCGAGACAGAGAGAAGGAAACCGAAGAGAGCAGAGGCGCTGCACTGATAAAACAAGAGAAAATAATAGTTGGATGAGGATGGGAAAAACCTACATAGAATACTATCAGAGATCAGTGTGTATGGACAGCAGGACACAGGAAATGCCTCACTGGAGCCATTGCATCACTTCCTGGTGTCTATCAGTTTTGTGGAGATAAGGGCAGTGTCCTAAATGACACCCTATTCTCTATATAGTGAACTCATTTTGACCAGGGCCCAATGGTAGTGCACTATGGAGGGAATAGGGTACCATTTGGGATGTTGCCAAAGATAATACATATTTTGGGACGGAGAAGGATGGGAAAGCTAATATTGTCATCTGGAATACAATGACATGTCCACTGGGAGTGGAGGACATACAGCCTGGGGAGAGAGAGATAAGAGGTGTGACAGAGAGAGTGAGAGAGAGAGAGAAACCAGAGAGAGAGAGACCAGAGAGAGAGAGAGTGAGACCAGAGAGAGAGAGAGTGACCAGAGAGAGAGAGAGAGAGAGAGAGTGACCAGAGAGAGAGAGAGAGAGAGAGAGTGACCAGAGAGAGAGAGAGAGAGAGAGAGAGAGAGAGACCAGAGAGAGAGAGAGAGAGAGAGAGAGAGAGAGAGAGAGAGAGAGCAGAGAGAGAGCCATCAAAAGGAACATGCCATCAAAAGGAACATAAAATTTGACATACCAATTAGGATCTGGCTAAAAATACTTGAATCCGTTATAGAATCCATTGCCCTTTATGGTTGTGAGGTCTGGGGTCCGCTCACCAACCAAGAATTCACTAAATGGGACAAACACCAAATCGAGACAGCATGCAGAATTCTGCCAAAAATATCCCCTGTGTACATCGTAAAAACACAAAATAATGCATGCAGAGCAGAATTAGGCAGATACCCGCTAATTATCAAAATCCAGAAAATAGACTTTAAATTCTATAACCACCTAAAATGAAGCGATTCCCAAAACTTCCATAACAAAGCCATCGCATACATAGAGATGAACTTGGAGAAGAGTCCCCTAAGCAAGCTGGTCCTGGGGCTCTGTTCACAAACACAAACAGACCCCACAGAGCCCCAGGACAGCAACACAATTAGACCCAACCAAATCATGAGAAAAAAAAAAGATAATTACTTGACACATTGGAAAGAATTTACAAAAAAACTGAGAAAAAACTTCCTGCCAAATGTATGACCATATTAGAGACATATATTCCTCTGATTACACAGACCAACAAAGAACTCGAAAACAAATCAAATTTTGATAAACTCCCATATCTATTGGGTGAAATACCACACTGTGCAATCACAGCAGCAAGATGTGTGACCTGTTGCCACAAGAAAAGGGCAACCAGTGAAGAACAAACACCATTGTAAATACAACCTATATTTATTTATTCCTTTTTGTACTTTAACTATTTGCACATCATTATAACACTGTATATATACACATAATATGACATTTGAAATGTCTTTATTCTTTTGAAACTTCTGAGTGTAATGTTTACTGTTAATATTTATTGTTTATTTCAGTTTTGTTTACTATCTACTTCACTTGCTTTGACAATGTTAACATACATTTCCCATGCCAATAAAGCCCCTTGAATTGAAATTGAACAGAGAGAGACCAGAGAAAGAGAAAGAGAGAGAAAGAGAGAGAGAGAGACCAGAGATAAACTACAGGATGTTTTGACTCCCTCTCTTCCAGAAGTGTCTAAGGCACACACACACACCGCTCATGGACGTCACACCATCCTAGGAATGTGTGTGTGTGTGTGTGTGACAGAGCAGCTTTTCCTGCCTGCCTCGTCTCATATTACAGTAATGATGACTCATCCCTGGGGAGGTTATGGGAAAAATGGCCCAAAACTGGACTCTACAGCTGGGAGAGGAAAGGAGAGCAAGGTGATAGAGGTGTGCCAGATAATGGGTGGGAACAGTGGGCGCCAGAGAGCAGAACAGAACCATACTGTAGATAAAGTGTCCGTTTCAATTCATTGATAACTTCGGCGTTAGCTTGCTTATATAGAGCGGGTACTACCTGTTTACTGAAACGGGTGCGAGAGGGTGAAGTTCATAGCGTGGCTCGAGCACTTTTACAAGGTGCTGAAACCACCTTTTCTTCACAACCACCGATATATCCGCAGCTATAAAACATACCCATCGCCCTTGTAATTTCTTAGGCCCAGTCAGAATCAGCTGTGAAGGGCTGCTTGAATGTAGGGGGGAGACAAAGCTGTGTTGTTTTTTTGCGTTTCCGTCTTGTTCCTGCGGTAGGAATATTGGGGTGATGTTGGCATAAAAGCGTCAACATGTTTGAGGTGTTGGCAGCTGCATAGGCTATTCTCGTTGTGCAGTGGTGACATACGGTTAAGGTTTCAATCCACAACTCTCTGTCCATCGCCATTGTAATCTACTGGGAAGCCAAAATTGAGATTTAAACGATGGAGAATCCTCCTGGTTTATCAACCCCACCACTCGTCATCGTACAGAACTAGTTCCCGGCGGCGCCTCACAAAAGGACAGTTTGAAATGCACCAATTAAGATTTACATTACATTTTTTAACTAGAGCGTAGGCTCTAGTTGTTTTAACGGAATAGCCTGAAATGTTTTTCAGCTCAGATTTCCTCAAGAGGCAGAGGCCTACAACCCAGCGTAGGCATAGTCTATAGGCCTAGTGCTTTTTGTCTATTTTTTGTTGTTGTATGTATTCGGGTTCACAGTGCAGATCCAACCGAGGTCCCGTACTGACCGGTTCGGCACCAATACGTGTACCGTTACACCCCTATTCAGTACATGGAAATTTAACGTTGTTATTTTTAATGTGCACTACGTCATCACACAGCCTTTTATCTGCAACACGTCAGTTTGATGGAAAAATCTCTGGTGGGAAAATGTGCATATTGTTTTTTTGCAGATTTTAGAACATTCGCATTAAAATCTATCGCCAATTGGATGGAAACCTAGTTACAGACACAGATGAAGTCCTTTCCTGAACTACATAGCATGTTTTCAATAGAATGTGCTTTTTAGTTCAGGAGTTGGACTACATTGCATTCACATCACCTCCGGTTTGGCCAATAAGTTGTGTTTCTCTCTCTCTTCACCTACCTCTCTTTCTCTGCTTTACTTTTAGAGGAGCAGGAAATAACAGCATTGTTTACAATTAGCCTGAGAGAGAGGGAGGAGGGTGGAGAGAGAGGGAGGGAGGAGGGGGGGCGAGAGAGGGAGGAGGGGGAGAGAGAGGAGAGGGAGGAGGGGGGAGAGAGAGAGATGGTAGGAGGGGGGGAGAGAGAGAGAGGGAGGAGGGGGGGAGAGAGGAGAGAGGGAGGAGGGGGGAGAGAGAGTAGAGGGAGGAGGGGGGGGGGAGAGGGAGAGAGAGGAGGAGGGGGGGGAGAGGGGGAGGAGAGCGAGGGAGGAGGGGGGTGGAGGGGGGAGAGAGAGGGAAGAGGGGGGAAGAGAGGGAGAGAGAGGGAAGAGGGGGGAAGAGAGAGGGAGGAGGGGGGGGAGAGGAGAGGGAGGAGGGGGGGAGGGGGGAGAGAGAGGGAGGAGGGGGGGAGGAGGGGGGAGTAGGGGGAGAGAGAGAGGGAGGAGGGGTGTGTGTGTGTGAGTTGGACCACTGTTGTAGGTGTGTGTTATTACCTGTTTGCGTGCCTGGCTGAGTCCATGTAGGCGTTGTTGTAGTTCGCTCCTGTAATTCTGAGCTGCTTCTATACTCTCCTTAGCCTCCTGCAGCAATGCCTCAGCCTCTATAGACATCCTACTGTACCGCCTGGCTCCTACACACACACACACACACACACACACACACACACACATTATCAGCAGAGGTTTGTAACTTCATGTCCCTGTTGTCTGATATGCTTTCACTCTGAAAGTGTTCAGACTGGAATGTGTGTGTATTCCCCTGAAGTCATTATGATGCTGTGCACCTCCACTACCACAGTAGTAGAACAAGGAGGGGCAGACAGACAGACTAAGACAGTACCTTGTACACCAGGCAGACAGACAGACACTAAGACAGTACCTTGTACACCAGGCAGACAGACACTAAGACAGTACCTTGTACATAAGGTAGACAGACAGACACTAAGACAGTACCTTGTACACCAGGCAGACAGACAGACACTAAGACAGTACCTTGTACACCAGGCAGACAGACACCAAGACAGTACCTTGTACACCAGGTAGACGACAGTGAGAAGAGACAGTACCATGTACACCAGGCAGACAGACATACACTAAGACAGTACCTTGTACACCAGGCAGACAGACAGACACTAAGACAGTACCTTGTACACCAGGCAGACAGACAGACACTAAGACAGTACCTTGTACACCAGGCAGACAGACACCAAGACAGTACCTTGTACACCAGGTAGACGACAGTGAGAAGAGACAGTACCTTGAACACCAGGTAGACGACAGTGAGAAGAGACAGTACCATGTACACCAGGCAGACAAACAGACACTAAGACAGTACCTTGTACACCAGGTAGACAGACAGACACCAAGACAGTACCTTGTACACCAGGCAGACAGACAGACAGACACTAAGACAGTACCTTGTACACCAGGTAGACAGACAGACACTAAGACAGTACCTTGTACACCAGGTAGACGACAGTGAGAAGAGACAGTACCTTGTACACCAGGTAGACGACAGTGAGAAGAGACAGTACCATGTACACCAGGCAGACAGACAGACAGACACTAAGACAGTACCTTGTACACCAGGTAGACAGACAGACACTAAGACAGTACCTTGTACACCAGGCAGACAGACAGAGACACTAAGACAGTACCTTGTACACCAGGTAGACAGACAGACACTAAGACAGTACCTTGTACACCAGGTAGACGACAGTGAGAAGAGACAGTACCTTGTACACCAGGTAGACTACAGTGAGAAGAGACAGTACCTTGTACACCAGGCAGACAGACAGACACTAAGACAGTACCTTGTACACCAGGTAGACAGACAGACACTAAGACAGTACCTTGTACACCAGGTAGACGACAGTGAGAAGAGACAGTACCTTGTACACCAGGTAGACGACAGTGAGAAGAGACAGTACCATGTACACCAGGCAGACAGACAGACACTAAGACAGTACCTTGTACACCAGGTAGACAGACAGACACTAAGACAGTACCTTGTACACCAGGTAGACGACAGTGAGAAGAGACAGTACCTTGTACACCAGGTAGACGACAGTGAGAAGAGACAGTACCTTGTACACCAGGTAGACGACAGTGAGAAGAGACAGTACCTTGTACACCAGGCAGACAGACAGACACCAAGACAGTACCTTGTACACCAGGCAGACAGACAGACACTAAGACAGTACCTTGTACACCAGGTAGACGACAGTGAGAAGAGACAGTACCTTGTACACCAGGTAGACTACAGTGAGAAGAGACAGTACCTTGTACACCAGGCAGACAGACAGACACTAAGACAGTACCTTGTACACCAGGTAGACAGACAGACACTAAGACAGTACCTTGTACACCAGGTAGACGACAGTGAGAAGAGACAGTACCTTGTACACCAGGTAGACGACAGTGAGAAGAGACAGTACCATGTACACCAGGCAGACAGACAGACACTAAGACAGTACCTTGTACACCAGGTAGACAGACAGACACTAAGACAGTACCTTGTACACCAGGTAGACGACAGTGAGAAGAGACAGTACCTTGTACACCAGGTAGACGACAGTGAGAAGAGACAGTACCTTGTACACCAGGCAGACAGACAGACACTAAGACAGTACCTTGTACACCAGGTAGACGACAGTGAGAAGCGACAGTACCTTGTACACCAGGCAGACAGAGACACTAAGACAGTACCTTGTACACCAGGCAGACAGAGACACTAAGACAGTACATTGTACATCAGGTAGACAGCAGTGGGAAGAGGGTAGGGGAGACAAGAGGAGAGTAGAGGATGTTTGACGATGATGTGCAAAACAGATCAAACCACAACCAGAGACCAGACACTATCAGCAACCAGCCAATCAGAGACCAGACACTAGCAGCAACCAACCAACCAACCAACCAGAGACCAGACACTAGCAGCAACCAGCCAATCAGAAACCAGACACTAGCAGCAACCAGCCAACCAGAGACCAGACACTAGCAGCAACCAGCCAGCCATTGACCAGACACTAGCAGCAACCAGCCAACCAGAGACCAGACACTAGCAGCAACCAGCCAACCAGAGACCAGACACTAGCAGTAACCAGCTACAAGCAGACAGTCCCTATTCACGTTGAAGATGACTGTTGCCCACATAGCAGATACAAACAGAAATCCATGGGTATGACACAAAGACTGCTGCTGATGCTGTGGGTTATGGTTACAGTACAGCCTTTTCTAGACCAGAACATGCTAAGGTAGTTTGGATGAAGGTACAGGATAGAGTAAGCCTGTTCTAGACCAGAACATGTTAAGGTTCAGGATAGAGTAAGCTTACTTCAGTCTTCACTAAAGCCACCATCTCAAGTGAGGTGTTTTCACCCATAGACTCATATAAAGAACATTTCACCAGAGGCATAAAGAGGAGATGTGCAGGTTTTCACTAGAAGCCAATAAGCCATCCCAGTGTACACAATGTATCCTATCCTGCCCCCAAACACACACCTTAGTAAGGTCATCTGAGAGGTTCATTGATTGTGTGATCTATCAATAATGTTCAAAGGGTCACAGTACTGCTGTCAAACACACACACACACACACACACACTATGAGGATCAGAGTTAGTGTTGCAGGACAACAGCAGTGGAACCAGATGACCCACTGGGCTGAACCCTCCTGTTTCCCTCCAGGCGGATAAAACAAAACAACACATGGTCCGTCCCTTAAAGAACTCCCCCTCGTAAAACGTGGTGCACTATTTAGGGAACATGGTGCCATTTAGGATGCACACAGTGGTTCCATCTCGCCCTGGGGACATCTTTGTTTCAATATAGAGATCCAACAGATCAGCCTACAGACACAGTCAATCTAACAGAACCACACAGACAATCTAACAGAACCACAGACACATTCAATCTAACAGAACCACACAGACACAGTCAACCTAACAGAACCACACAGACACAGTCAATCTAATAGAACCACACAGACACAGTCAATCTAACAGAACCACACAGACACAGTCAATCTAACAGAACCACACAGACACAGTTACACTAGAACATATTCAGATGTGCTTCTTTGACTATAAATAGTCACTGATCTGTTAGAAAATACCTAGTGTATGTTTCTCAGAAAGCCTATGAAAAGGGTGTGGTTTGAAGTTGGTAGCTGTTCTCTCAGTTTCTATAATCAATAAACAATGGAGAAAATGCATCCCATAACATTATAACATGGAAATAGCTGTTCTATCATTCAGCCTACAGTAGCAGCCAATGTGTGGTGTTCAATGTAGGCCTACATTCCATGAGACTTTTGAAAAAAAACATGTAGGGCTTGGCATTAACCTGTTTATCCACTTGTCCTTCAGACAAGGAGGTGACTGAAAATGCATTATTATTCCCATACCATTATTACATCAGACAAATTATGCTACCCTCTGCCTATTGGCTACTTAGCTTATTCATGCCCGTCTCAAAATACAACACTGCCCCTTTAAGACAAAAGAAAAGCTATTTACCTGACTGGCTTTTCAAAGATGTCTAGAAATGTACACGTTTTGTGCTGTTGTAGGAAGCAATCACTCCCCTATTGCTGACTACAAATGATCTATAACTGGGCTAATAACTCACTAACTAGCAAAGGATACGAACAAAATGTGCACACGTGGCTACATGCAGCTCTTGCTCTGATCTAAAAAAAAGAGCATCTCCTCACGACCGCTCATGCTGTAAACACATTCCAGTTCAAAGTAAATGGTACAGATCCATACATGGCAATGATCTATTTGCATATAGGCCTACTACAGCTCTGATTGGTTAGGCAGCACCGGAGACCGGTCTGTGTAGAGCAGGGCTGCCCAACCCTCTTCCTGGAGATCTACCATCCTGTGGGTTTTCAGTCCAACCCTAATTTAACATACCTGATTCTACTTATTAGCTGCTCAACAAGACCTTAACTAGCTGAATCAGATACGCTAAATTAGGGTTGGACTGAAAACCTACAGGACAGTTGATCTCCAGGAAGAGGGTTGGGCAGCCAAGGTGTAGTGTATAGGCTGAGTCTTGTGCAATACAATCCTCCTCCCATGTGTTCTGCCTACAACAAAATCTCTTGCATAGTTCGTTTTGTTTCGGTATGTTGCATTGAAAGGGGCTAATATTGCGTTGATTCCATCACAGTTGCCACAGTAAAGGGAAACATTGATAGTGTTAACTAACAGGGAAAACTCTAGAAAGTTGAGTGAAGTTCAACCTTGTGCTCCTCTCCCTGGGATGATAGTTTCTTCTGAGCTCTGACAGCCGTCTGGGGGCTACTGCACGCAGTTTAGAGGGAACATTGGGTAGGTGTGAGTTAGCAGCAAGTTAGGACTAGAAAGATGGAGAACTTTGTGTATGTGTTAGCAGTGTATGCTACAGTGTTGTCTCTCTGTGATGCTGCTGCTGGTGACCTAGATTCAGAGGGCAGCGGGCCTCCAGCCAGAAGAGAGAGTCTCTCTCTCTCTCTCGTTTACATGTGTGACAGAGAAAGAGTACACCAACAATGCATAAGTTAGTGTCTCAGTGTGTTGGTCACTGTTCTCTCTGTGTTAGGCCAATGTTGTGGGCTTGAATGTGTATGCCCCACTTCTAAGACTAGACCCCCTCTCCCTCCACACACACACTGGGGATTTAAAGGCAGTAATCTTGGAGCAATATAACAGATTCACCCCAGCGTGGGAGGAACATTCAGGTCACATGGATAATCACACACACGATGATCGCAGAAAGCCTCAGACTATTGTTGAGAAGATGCTGTCAGTGAAACATGAATAAACCCTCTTCTCTCTGTTAAACGATATACCCTCACTCCACCTGAAACAAAGTCTGCTATGGTCCTGATCAAAAGTAGCGCACTATGTCGGGAATATGATGCCATTTGGGATACCGCCTTTGTTTTTCAGGACTTTGTGTATGCACAGAAATCCATACAGTGGGTTTTGCTTTCTGAACCTGACCTATAGATAAGTATTGATCTATTGCTAGGAAATAGTCCTAGTAGCATGTCTAAACTTAAATTCCATGAGTGTTACTTATAGTTAGGTCAAGAAAGAAAAGTATCAATGTTATTCCATAATCACTATCCAGTACTATCATTAGTAACCTACAAAATATAATCACTTTGGACAACTGACATTCTGATAGTTATTTCTAGACCTTTAATTTAATTTCACCATATCCTGCACTAGGCTACTACAATCATTAGCCTAGTATCCTACATCAAACGTGTCATTCTACACAACTGTTTGTCATTGTGTGACTAACCTGAACGTTATGATAGATGCACACAGACGAGAGGAGCTTCGACCGCAACTATTGTTATCACAAAGCGAGCGGATGCCATTGAGAACACAACTTTGCGCAACATAAGAACATGCCCATACTCGCTCAAAATCAACTTCCGTAATTCTAAACAACCCAGTTTCACTACAAGTCACTACCCAACATGCATTTATCGATACATATGCACTCCACACCATTCAGGTTATTGTTGATGATGAATGAACGTAAACCATCGAGGGGTTGGCTTTCACCAACACTCGTGAAACAATACATTTCCAGAAAATGTCAAAGAAAACACCAAAGCCAGTTCATAGTAAACCAAAAGTAATATTCAAGACATTGGTAAACGCTTCATATAGCCTATTAAATAATGCGATATCGTAGCCTACCTGATTTGGACTTAGTTTCTGGTCATTCTAAAGTTCGATACCGTTTCGCTATCGACCGATGCGCAGACGTTTTTTGCACCAGTCCAAAAATGACAATTGACTGGGCTTTCTGCTGATCGGCAGCTCAACTAGCCAATAGAAGAAGGATATCACCCAGTCTTCCTCTCTCTGTGCCCGCCCTCTGAGTTGCAAATGTGATACAGTAGCCTAACTGTTATAGTTAAAGCATCTTTCTTATGAACATCCCAATGCAAGTCTCAACCAATTAAATGTACTTTCTAACTGTGTGATTTTATTGTTTGGACATTTTTATCTTCACCATAATATGCATGTGATTGAGAATAAATGTACTGCAGTAGTCCTAAGTGACTGAGTCATGATTTAGCTATCACCATGAGGCTTTATCAATCAGTGGCTTAAAACACAGTGCTATTATTATGGGGTCATATTACCATACAGTTCAGTCTGCATTTGATTTATTAGTACTCAAGCACACCGCAAAATAATAAAACAACACCTCACAACACAACGCCTCTCCCCTATCTGACCAAGTTGTAATGTCCATGTTAATGTTTTAAAATGTATGTCAATCGTAAAGTATTTTTGTCTGTAATGTATTTTTCGTTATGTGTCGGACCCCAGGAAGACTAGCTGTCGCCATTGGAGTCTAAATCTAAAACAATGATCCGTGGTCCTCTGTAGCTCAATTGGTAGAGCATGGTGCTTGTAACGCCAGGGTAGTGGGTTCGATCCCCGGGACCACCCATACGTAAAAATGTATGCGCACATGACTCTAAGTCGCTTTGGATAAAAGCGTCTGCTAAATGGCGTATTATTATATTTATCCTATATAGCCACATGAAGAGCCATGTCTCTGTCTGTATAGCGGTTCAAGAACACCTCCTAGTGGTGATAGACAGCCATGTCTCTGTCTGTATAGAGGTTCAATAACACCTCCTAGCGGTGATAGGAAGGCAAAGGTACAGAACATTCATTCCATTATTATCATTCTATCATTATCTGGATACTGTATTTATTTGAGCTCTAAGGTTTTATAAATGAAATTGCTGTCAGAACTTGTCATCATTGGCTAAAGCATTTCAGACAGAAAACCTCTTACAAAACAACAAATTGGTATGCTTATCCAATCAAAATAATAAAAGGTGGATTTGATTTTGATTGCTCTGTGTGAGTTTTTCTGTGTGTGCGCGCGATATATATATATATAGAGAGAGAGAGAGAGCGAGAACGAGAGATTTGAAATGTCTCTGTTCCTTTGGAACTTTTGTGAGTGTAAAGATTACTGTTCATTTTTCATTTTGTATTGTTTATTTCACTTTTATTTATTATCTATTTCACTAGCTTTGGCAATGTAAACATATGTTTCCCATGCCAATAAGCCATTTTAATTTAATTGAATTGAGAGAGAGCGAGAGAGAGAGAGAGAGAGAGAGAACAAGCTGTGCGTGAACGTAGCCGCCGGCCACCATACATGCGCGTAAAAGTGAAGCGCAGCGTCCAGTGCACGCAGCTTCACAGATTTACAACACATCAGATGGGTTTATAATGAGCATGCCCACTATTCTAAAAACTAACAGGGGTCATTGATATTTGTGGAGTAGTTGAAGCGCGCTTTAAATCTGAGCGCCTCGCGGGACAGTCCTCCAGATTAGCGGTTGACGCACAGGATGGATTTGGTAGGTAGCAACCTGATACTGTACGGTACTGGTCGGTATACAGGGACCGGTTGATCTAGAATGGACGAATGAAATGCTTTAAATGTAACATATCGATGGATTTCTCAACTTTTCCATTATCAAATTCGTCCGTTGTTATAAAGATAGAATGTGTGAATGCATAATGGTTAAGTAGGCTAGATGAGCTATGACAGGAGAGCTAAATACGGACCATTCCTGTTTGGATTTCAAAATGAAGCGACCCAAAGGAATTGTGGCAGATTTGGTGCGTTACAACACTGTCTCGTGGGACGTTTGTTATGGAGCCGCATTACTTTCTCACTCAAACAAGATCTAAGAATGCGTAACAGTACTTCAATGGTTGGAAGTAAAATCTAAACCTTTTGGCTAACATGAATGTATTGTCCGGTTCTGCTAACTCACTAACATCAGCTAACAATCGCAGGTATACAAGCGTAGACTAAATTTAGCTGGCATGCCAAGTGTGTGAATTGGAGGAACTGTAAAACACCTATCCCGCCATTGTGCCCTTGGGTAAGGCACTTAACCTATAACCTGCTCCAGGGGCGCTGTACTGCCACTGACCGACCGGTGCCTCCCTCAACGTGTGTTTCTTCACCTAGAAGGATTTGGAGAGGCAGAAGACAACTTTCCTTTAAAGTTTCACCCAACAATGGACTACAAAATTATATGATATTCTGTTCTGTTTTCGTAGAACACCGCAGTTCAAAATGAACGTGTTCAAAATGAGGAAAGCCGTTGTAAAAGAAGCGGTTAAACGTTTTCCATGGCTAGCCAACGTTACTCTGTATGGCTGCCTGTTTGCCGGCGGCGACTTCGTCCATCAGATGATCGCACAGAGAGAAGAGATGGACTGGAAACACACCAGAAATGTTGCCATAGTGGCCATTAGCTTCCATGGAAACTTTAATTATTTCTGGTTGCGGGCTTTGGAAAGCCGTTTCCCCGGAAAATCTCCCGGAATGCTCTTCCGCAAACTGCTCCTGGACCAAAGTTTTGCGTCGCCCTTGGCAACTAGTGTCTTCTACACAGGTAACGTGCATTTTACTGTGGAACGTTTAATATAAGTCAATCTATTATAGCCTATAACAATTTTCGAATTTTCTAAAGTGGCCTACATAGAATTACCGTATATAGAAACAGACCAATGCGTCATGTCCATTGGGTGATAGGCCTAGGTTAGGCTACTCTCCTATAGCCTAACCTTGGATGTGTGTATTTGTAAATGCTGAATGTGATGAACAGACTGCAGTGATCTAACGTGTACTCGTTCAAAAGGTCATGTGCAAATGTGTGACCTAAAGTGTGACCTAAAGTCTTTCCTTCTTCCTTCTCCAGGAGTGAGTTTCTTGGAGAATAAAGACGATATCTTCGAGGACTGGAGAGAAAAGTTCCTCAACACCTACAAGGTAAGATGAAATCAGAAGGAACTGGAACCGACCGACATACAGACAGAGAAGAAAGAAAGTCACCTTCCGCCTGCCTGGTCTGAGCTCACCCCCGATTAACCCAGATTATGGCACCGCTTTCGCGCAGCAATGGGCAGGCGGCCAGGGATACGGCAATGCATGACAATTACTGCCAGTGGAAAACAAGCAACGAGCCCAACTCTTCCAGGCCCAACAACCGCTGTAAAATAATACTGAGATGCGGGTAGAACATATTCCCCCTGTTGAAATAAAATAGAAGAGTACAGGGCAGTAGGAGTGGAGAGACATAGAGAGGGATGCTGCTGGAAGAAGTCTCTGATTGTGATATGAGTGGCAAATCAAGTCAAACTTTATTTAAAGTGCTTTATTATCACAGTCTCACGATACACTTTATAAAGAGAATACAAACAGAGAGATAAACTCAGCAGGCATAGATACATACATACAGACAGACAGACAGACAGACAGACAGACAGGCAGGCAGACAGGCAGGCAGGCAGACAGGCAGATAGATAGATAGATAGAAATGACAGGCAGGCAGACAAAAAGACAGACAGAAAGACAGGCAGACAGACAGACAGATAGATAGATAGATAAAAATGACAGGCAGGCAGACAAAAAGACAGACAGATAGAAAGACAGGCAGACAGACAGACAGACAAGCAGGCAGGCAGACAGACAGACAGACAGGCAGGCAGGCAGGCAGACCAGACCTGCTAGTCAGTTAATGATGTGAAGGATCTGTGTTAAAACGGAGCTCTTGGAATGCTGTATTTGACTTGGTTTGATAATTAACATGTATCTTGTCTCTTTGAATTTCAGACTGGACTCATGTACTGGCCTTTCATGCAGGTGAATGATAAGGATGCCATTGATAGACAGTGTGTTACTGTACTGTAAATATCCCAATGTATTGATAATAAACTACATTGGTGAAGGCATAACATCCTGCTCTGAAATGTCCCTACCAACTAATACACATGCACCGGAATTTACTATAAACATCAGGTTGATCCTGTGCTGTGTCAATACAGTAGTGTCACACACACACACACACACATCCTTCTCTGTTCTATTTCTGTATCATGGTTTATTTACTGTTAGAGATAACCATCTTCTTCTGCGGGAGTGATGATCTGATGTCATAACTGTTATCACACACACCTGTCAGTCAGTGGTACATGTGCAGTGTGCTGTAATACAACACTAGTGTTATTTTCTGATGTACTTCAAACTGACACCTGTTTTTATCTACCCCTTTCCACCTTCCTCTCTCCCTCCCCCTTCTACCCTCTTCACCCCCCTCCTCCTCCCCCTCCCTCCCCCTCACGCTCCCTCCCTCCCCCTCCTCCCCAGTTCCTAAACTTCATCCTGATACCTCTATACCTGAGGACAGCCTTCATGGGCTGTTGTGCGTTCCTGTGGGCCACCTTCCTGTGTTTCTCCCGGCAGAGCGGGGACGGTACGGCCAGCGTGGCCCTAGCCTTCTTCCTGTATCCCAAACAGAGGCTGCAGGCCGCCCGGGAGGCCCACCTCGCACGCAAGAAACAGAAAGAAGAGGAAGAACTGCAGCAGAGCACTGAGAACTAACTGAATTGGTTCAGTGAGATTCGATTCAATTCAAGAAACAGAAAACATCAAGCACTGAGAACTGAACTGGTTTAATGAGATTCAATTCGGGAAACAGAAGAATCAAGCACTGAGAACTGAACTGACTTAATGAGATTCAATTCAATTGAGGGAACAGGAAAACAGAGGAGGACCCGAGCACTGAGAACTGAACTGTTAAAACTGAACTGCTAAAATGTTATTTCAATTCAAGGGCATCAAGACAAGGCATGAGGGCATGGTTGGAGGGTGACAACACACTGTCATCATGTGAGGACAGGCCAGGCTCTCACACCTTAGAAAAAACTCAAAACAGATAGTTTGATTGAATATAACTTTATTGATATCCTCAGGGGAAAGGAAGAGTGAATATAACTTTATTGATATGCTCAGGGACAAGGAGGAGTGAATATAACTTTATTGAATATAACTTTATTGATATCCTCAGGGGCAAGGCGGAGTGAATATAACTTAATAGAATATAACTTTATTTATATCCTCAGGGGCAAGGAGGAGTGAATATAACTTTATTGAATATAACTTTATTGATATCCTCAGGGGCAAGGAGGAGTGAAAATAACTTTATTGAATATAACTTGATTGATATCCTTAGGGGCAAGGAGGAGTGAATATAACTTTATTGATATCATCAGGGGCAGGGAGGAGGCATCATTGGAGCACAGTTACATAATTTAGGTCTACTGTACATATACAAATACATCCACCTAATACTATGCCAGCAACACGTACAGTGTTCAATTCAACACAACTTTATCAATCCCGTCAAGGGCAACCCAGAAAGCATAGTCGGACTCGGAGCACATTACTTACAGACATTCAGACTGTACAGGTGTAGAAGTGCAATACATTACGTGAAACAGAACAAGTTACGTTTTTATTTAACCTTTATTTATCTAGCTTTGTCTCATTGAGATCAAAATCTATTTTGCAAGAGACCAGGGGCTGTATGTATCAAGCGCTTCAGAGGAGTGCTGATCTAGGATCAGTCCCCCCACCCACGTCCATGTAATCTTATTCATAGTGGTCTAAAAGGAAAAACTGATCCAGCACTTTTACTCTGAGACGCTTGATACATACATGTACGACCCCTGAAGTTGTTTGTAAGAAACATGTTGGGTGGATGAGAGAGGTATTAGTTGTTGTGATTACAGGGATGTTCCACAGGGAGAGGTGGTGTTAGTTGTTGTGATTACAGGGATGTTCCTCAGGGAGTGGTGGTGTTAGATGTTGTGATTACAGGGATGTTCCTCAGGGAGAGGTGGTGTTAGACGTTGTGATTATAGGGATGTTCCTCAGGGAGAGGTGGTGTTAGACGTTGTGATTATAGGGATGTTCCTCAGGGAGAGGTGGTGTTAGACGTTGTGATTATAGGGATGTTCCTCAGGGAGAGGTGGTGTTAGACGTTGTGATTACAGGGATGTTCCTCAGGGAGAGGTGGTGTTAGACGTTGTGATTATAGGGATGTTCCTCAGGGAGAGGTGGTGTTAGATGTTGTGATTACAGGGATGTTCCTCAGGGAGAGGGGGTGTTCGATGTGATTACAGGGATGTTCCTCAGGGAGAGGAGGTGTTCGATGTGATTACAGGGATGTTCCTCAGGGAGAGGTGGTGTTAGATGTTGTGATTTGCAGGGATGTTCCTCAGGGAGAGGGGGTGTTCGATGTGATTACAGGGATGTTCCTCAGGGAGAGGAGGTGTTCGATGTGATTACAGGGATGTTCCTCAGGGAGAGGTGGTGTTAGATGTTGTGATTTGCAGGGAGGTTCCTCAGGGTGTGTTCATGTATATATGCAAAATGTGTTTGTTCTATGCTCTCAATTTCTATGTCCCATCGGTTGTGCCTTCTGTTGGTAACAAGATCCCTTCATGTTCTGGTCTAGATCTAGTTAGTTAGTTAGTTCTTACTCAGAGAATCTCTGTGTGTTTTGTGTGTGTGTGTGTATATATATATATTTATGCTCAAGTGTTGTATAACTAATCTTCCAGATTGACCCATCTAAGGATAAAGTGCTATCCTGTCCTGTTACTTGAATTGTCTATTTATTTATTTTAACCTACTAGGTTGCCATCGACCCTGTGACCTTATAACGTACATATATCCATTAGGGTTGCAAAATACCAATAATTCCCAGGTCTCCCAGAAATCCCCATTGGAGGATTCCCGGATTTCCTCCTTATTCCTTGCCAATTCCAGATTTTTGTTTTTCCAACCCTGGGAATCTGGGAAAGTTTCAGGAATGTTGCATCCCTACATACCATCAAGGTACTGAAGATCTGCAACATTCTTTACTGAAGTCAAACCTTACTGTAGAATACGGTTGCACAATTCCGGCAACTTTCCCAACATTCCCAAGTTTTCCAGAAATCCCGGTTGAAATATTCCTGGAATCTGGAGGGTATAAACTAGAAATCCAGGGATACTCTTACCCGTATTTCTGGAAAAAGTGAATTTTGTTCAACCCTACTGTAGAATCTACTTAGAGGTGTTAATATTACAAATATTGTACTCAACATTAGCTACCTGTGTTTACTGTTTCATAGAACAGTTCTGTTAATCGCATACATTGAATGGATAGAGAAATAAAATCCAAGGTCATGTTATACCTCCTTTTCTTTGCCTCAAAGTAGAAGGTATCAAGTTAGTAGAGATACTTGTTGTACAGACAGAGGTATATATACAGAACAGTGTAGACAGAAAGAACATTAACATAATTATATTTTAGCATATGTCAGAACAAGCAATCAGTGTGAGAGTGTTGACTAATGTTGTGCATCTTGTTACTATGATGTGATTTAGATTCAGAAAAGCTTTATTGTTCCAACATTTGGCAGAGTGAAGGCTCACCATAACTATAACATGGTGTAGTAGTCAGGGGATGTAGCTCAGTTGGTAGAGCATGGCGTTTGCAACGCCAGGGTTGTGGGTTCGATAAAATAATGTATGCACTAACTGTAAGCTGTCTCCGCACCACGTGCTCTCACCACTGGTGTCCCCCAGGGCTCAGTTCTAGGCCCTCTCCTTTTCTCCCTATACACCAAGTCACTTGGCTCTGTCATATCCTCACACGGCCTCTCCTATCATTGCTACGCTGATGATACACAACTAATCTTCTCCTTTCCCCCTTCTGATAACCAGGTGGCGAATCGCATCTCTGCATGTCTGGCCGACATATCAGTATGGATGACGGATCACCACCTCAAGCTGAACCCTGGCAAGACGGAGCTGCTCTTCCTCCCGGGGAAGGACTGCCCGTTCCATGATCTCGCCATCACGGTTGACAACTCCGTTGTGTCCTCCTCCCAGAGTGCGAAGAGCCTTGGCGTGACCCTGGACAACACCCTGTCGTTCTCCGCCAACATCAAGGCGGTGACCCGATCCTGCAGGTTCATGCTCTACAACATTCGGAGAGTACGACCCTGCCTTACACAGGAAGCGGCACAGGTCCTAATCCAGGCACTTGTCATCTCCCGTCTGGATTACTGCAACTCGCTGTTGGCTGGGCTCCCTGCCTGTGCCATTAAACCCCTACAACTCATCCAGAATGCCGCAGCCCGTCTGGTGTTCAACCTTCCCAAGTTCTCTCACGTCACCCCCCTCCTCCGCACACTCCACTGGCTTCCAGTTGAAGCTCGCATCCGTTACAAGACCATGGTGCTTGCCTATGGAGCAGTGAGGGGAACGGCACCTCCGTACCTTCAGGCTCTGATCAGTCCCTACACCCAGGCGAGGGCATTGCGTTCATCCACCTCTGGCCTGCTGGCTCCCCTTCCTCTGCGGAAGCATAGTTCCCGCTCAGCCCAGTCAAAGCTGTTCGCTGCTCTGGCACCCCAATGGTGGAACAAGCTCCCTCACGACGCCAGGACAGCGGAGTCACTCACCACCTTCCGGAGACATTTGAAACCCCACCTCTTTAAGGAACACCTGGGATAGGATAAAGTAATCCTTCTACCCCCCCCCCCCCCCCCCCCCCCCCCCAAAAAAAAATAAAAAAAAATAAGTATAATTGTAAAGTGGTTATCCCACTGGCTATAGGGTGAATGCACCAATTTGTAGTCACTCTGGATAAGAGCGTCTGCTAAATGACATAAATGTGCCCTTGAGCAAGGCACTTAACCCTAATTGCTCCTGTAAGTCGCTCTGGATAAGAGCGTCTGCTAAATGACTAAAATGTAAATGTAAATGTAAGTCGCTCTGGATAAGAGCGTCTGCTAAATGACTAAAATGTAAATGTAGTCAGCAGAGTGAAGGTTCACCATAACTATAACATGGTGTAGTAGTCAGCAGAGTGAAGACTCACCATAACTATAACATGATGTAGTAGTCAGCAGAATGAAGGTACACCATAACTATAACATGGTGTAGTAGTCAGCAGAGTGAAGGCTCACCATAACATGGTGTAGTAGTCAGCAGAGTGAAGACTCACCATAACTATAACATGATGTAGTAGTCAGCAGAGTGAAGGTACACCATAACTATAACATGGTGTAGTAGTCAGCAGAGTGTAGATTCACCATAACTATAACATGATGTAGTAGTCAGCAGAGTGAAGGTTCACCATAACTATAACATGGTGTAGTAGTCAGCAGAGTGAAGGTTCACCATAACTATAACATGATGTAGTAGTCAGCAGAGTGAAGGTTCACCATAACTATAACATGGTGTAGTAGTCAGCAGAGTGAAGTTTCACCATAACTATAACATGGTGTAGTAGTCAGCAGAGTGAAGGTTCACCATAACTATAACATGGTGTAGTAGTCAGCAGAGTGAAGGTTCACCATAACTATAACATGGTGTAGTAGTCAGCAGAGTGAAGGTTCACCATAACTATAACATGGTGTAGTAGTCAGCAGAGTGAAGGTTCACCATAACTATAACATGGTGTAGTAGTCAGCAGAGTGAAGGTTCACCATAACTATAACATGGTGTAGTAGTCAGCAGAGTGAAGGTTCACCATAACTATAACATGGTGTAGTAGTCAGCAGAGTGAAGGTTCACCATAGCTATAACATGATACAGTAGTCGGTGTTATCCAATCCTGGTCCTGGGGACCCATTTTTGTTTTTGCCCCAGCACTATCACACCTGATTGAAATAATAAAAAGCTTGATGATGAGTTGATTAGTTGAATTAGGTGTATTAGTGCAAGGACAAAGCCCTTTGGGTCCCCAAGACCAGAATTGGGAAAAACTGGTGTAGCATGTTGGCTGGAATACATCAGTGACATTCACCTTCACTGATATCTAAAAGCAAACAGTCATGGAGAGACAGACTGATCTCTTGCTCTGTTGGCTAAGACTGTTGTCAGCTGACAATGAGCGGTGTGTGATGTTGTCCATAGGTCCTAGGTTGTGAGTTCGAGCTCTACTTGGCGTTAGCCT